TTTTCATTTTGAATATTCTACAGTGTCTGTTGTCTCCCATTAGCTTTTAAGATTTTAACAGACAAAGAGTGAAATAGTCAACAAATATTGACTGCTTTGAGGGGCACTGATAAAACTATTGTCCAAGATCACGGAGGATCTGGAGGAGCTGTAGTTTTAACCTTAACCAAGAAAATAAGCAATTTCAATATTTGTTCCATATACCGCATCACCGGTGTAAAAAAGAGACATTTTAACAAAAAACATGTATGCCTGTCACTATTCATTTAAAGAGTCAATGGAAGTTTACCATCTAAGAGCTTTGGATGTGTCTCACTTAGCGTATCTATTGTGTCTGTGCATTGTATGCGCAAGGAGAATTGCACACGCAAGGAAAACTGCCCAGATCAATATTTTTTCGCTATACTGCCAAGTAGTCATTAGCGAATTTAATGCCTGCAGTTTTGACCAATCAGAGGCATAGGATCTTTATATGCATGGTATAATATTTAGTATTTGATACTGAAAGCACAATGTTTATGATAAATGAGACTGCACCGCATCAACGAATGTAATGAAATGATTGCAGTATGGTGAGCCATTACCTTTAATAAGCCTTCATTTTAAAAGGCAGTTGAGATTAATTGATCAAGGTGTGGCATAGTATTTTTAATACAAATTCAATTATGAAATTGAAACATGATGTATACAAATATTTGTTGTTCTATTTATCTACTTCATATGGATTGCACTGTTGGATAATCAGAGCTGCCAACTAGTACGGATTTCCCGTAATTGGTACAGAAATTAATGATGATTACGGCAGTACGGAATGTTGTCTAAAATTATGGATTGTTTTGGGGGTTTTTGGCGTAAATATGATTTATCGTAGCGAGTGCTGTGCAGTATGGCGGCCATCCAACACTTGCTTAGAAAAGACAGAAAAATATCAAGTATTCTCTTAATAGAAGCCAATTTTTCATGGAAAACTGATGTGTTGTGATGACCTGAAAATCTTAGCAGCCTTGTGTGAGTAGATCCCCAACAATTTTAGATAATCATTGCACATGCATCCGTGCAGTGTTGGCATGCCATTTTCTTTTTAGATTCATAGCGCCACATAGGAAATTACTGATTTATTCCCATAATTACTGATTTTGAGCCTTGTGATTACTGATTTTCTGTTCTGGAGGTTGACAGCTCTGGATAATCGTCTGTGTTGGATGTTGAAATCGTTTTTTAATTTGTAATCCATTCAGTGCAGATTTTGACAGATTTTGCCCCAAATAAATTATTTGTTTAAAATTAAAAAACACTAAATATGGTTTATTTAAGAGATATATGATTGCTCTGGATAATCGTCTGTGTTTGATTCTGAAATCATTTTTTAATTTGTAATTTGTAATTCGTTCAGTGCAGATTTTGACAGATTTTGCCCCAAATAAATTATTTGTTTAAAATTAAAAAAACTAAATATGGTTTATTTAAGAGATATATGATTGCTCTGGATAATCGTCTGTGTTTGATGCTGAAATCATTTTTTAATTTGTAATTTGTAATTCGTTCAGTGCAGATTTTGACAGATTTTGCCCCAAATAAATAAATTAAAAGAAAAATTAAAAGACATTAAAATATGGTTTATTTAAGAGAAATGTGATTGATAATGAAACGTTTTTGGCTATGGCATTTGATATACTATGATTCCTGGTTTTAAAAGGGGTTATAGAGAAAGCTCTAAGTTGTTGAAACCTCACCCCAAAGAATTAGTGAAGGTATTCTGAAAAATGAGATGTATTCCTGCCCTTTGATGTACAAAATTCCTTACGAAAAAGTACAATAGATACATAAATCAAAATATTCTTGGCATGATATGATGCATTTTAGCATGACATGGGCGCAGCCATTTTCTTGGAAATTTGATGTACCAGTTGAAGTTTTACATGTATCATGCACCAAGCTTTAGTTGGAAAGACTTTATAAATCGATAACAAAACCTTTACTTTTTTAAAAGAGGAAAAATCATAGCTGAGCAGATTATATTTGTTGAAAAACACATAACAAGGGAACAATTTTAACTAATTCATTGAAAGATATTAAAATATAGTAGTTGACAAATCTATTTCATTTATGAGAAACCTTCACCCCAGAAGAGCATCAACGTATTTATGTGATTTGCGGTGGGGCAATTTTACATGTAGTACAAAGGATAATAGCAGGTGAATGAAAAACATTTCTTACGGGCAACAAAAGTTTTTATTCCGTTTGCTCATGGGTTATTTGGTTCCCATGGTAAATGCAGTCGAATGTACATATATTTGTAGATTGTTATTCCACGAATTGGTGGTGGTGATGGTTTATAAGACGGTGATAATAGTGATGAATATTAGTATGATGATGATAATGATAATGATGATGAATACGATGATGTATATGATTATGAGAAAGATGAGATAATGGCAATGATTTTGATGATGAGGATGAGGAGGAGAGGATGAGGAGGAGGAGGTGAACACAGGAGGAAGGAGGAGGTGATGAAGAAGGCCCCATTGTAAAGGCAACATTACAGTGCAAATCAGGGCTTCTATAAGATATGAGCATTGACCATATATCATGTAGCTCATAAAGTTTTTGAGTGGCTCGTAAAGTGTCAGGCTGCCTGATAAATCTTTATAATAGACCCAAGAACCATTTTTAATAACCATCATTAAAAAAAAAAAAAATCTGACAGCCATTTACAAATGGGGCTACTTAACATATACAGAATAGATGACTCATAAGAAAGTTTCTTAAAAATTAAGTTGATGGAACCAGTTTTATGCGATAAGAAAGGTAAATCAAAGTGAAGCAAACAAAGACAAAAAATGGGGAAAGAGGTCTGTATTCGTATCTAACTATGCATCAATGAAAAACTAATACATGTCATGTACCCAAGTGTATCTTCCTCTCTAGAAATAATTAAAACATAATAATATTCATAGAATATTTACTTTCCTCTTTTAAAATTCTAAACTTGTCTATGTATTTCTCACACATTATGATAGACATATGTGCACAATTCAACAAGATGAAAAAAATGTTACTATCTAAATTCGATGCTTGCTATATTTAATCTTTCTAAATTCATATTTCAAATCAGCACTAATAAATTGCTCCTTAAATGCCCTTAAAGCATCCGTCACTTTTCTTTTCCCCATATTTTGTAGCTGTTGATTGAGCTTTCCTTTATAATCTAGCACAGTTCTACCCATCAGCCGCATCAAAAACAGTTTATTGTGCAACCTCAACCACCATTCAATTTTCCTTTAATTATATCTATTGCATCAAATTCACTGACATAGATCTCTAGAACTCCTTTGATATGAATTTCTTTAGTGGACTTAATGGATTCTGAAAAGGTTAAATGCATTTAAGTCATGGTTTGTGCAGCTTTATTCCGTGACATACAATATCAACGATTATCCTTGAGAATTACAGGAAGCTTTTAAAGTGCACAATACATCTATAAAATTCTACTCTCAACCTATCGTGCACTAAATGATCTAGCTCCAGAATATATTTCATCCCTTCTATCACCCACTCTGCAGGTTATTCTGGTTTACGGTCATCAAATAATATTAGACTTAAAGAAATACGTACCAAAAGAAATTGGGGGGATAGAGCATTTGCATCAGCAGCTCCTTCTTTGTGGAATAAGTTACCTTTCTCTATTCAGATGGCCAACATTCTTTCTACCTTCAAAACTGGTCTTAAAACTCACTTAATGCTCAATGCATATTGTTAAATTTCAATGTTCTTTTTATACAATGCATGCAAAACAAACAATCACACTGTGCCACATTGTATGTACCATGGCACCATGAAGTTGTGTTATCTAATGCAAGTTAACATTTAATATTTCTTTAATCTTAAGTATATTGAATATTCATTTAAATTATTTGTATGCGCCTTGAGCATCTCTAGAGATGGATATGTTGCGCTTTATAAATAATGTTATTATTATTATTATTTTCTGTGCCACCCGTTTAAAAAAAAATATATCATTAGTGAATAAACAAGAATTACAATTTTTAAACTGACTTTTGTTATTGTAAAATTGGCTGTAACATTTCACTGTAAAGGAAAAAAATGATAATGGAGGCACAAATACAGGCAGAAAAAAATTTAGCCATTCTCAGTTGAGGCATTTTATTCAGCACTCATATTCGTGAAAGGGATTTGTTTATTCAGCATTAAAGGGGTTAAGGTCAATGAAGACTTGTGCTTTCCAGGGGAAGAGACGTGGACAAATATTATTTTTAATCAGACTGATTGATCTGAAATATCAATATTTTCTTATTATGTGCTGAAGAGTATCATCCATATGCAAGGTTAACTCTCTTTTGTTCAAGGATTTTTAGAAGAAAGACTGATTTTAGATTAATAAAAACAAGCAGTTCATGTATCAACATGGAAGATTTCAGCACAATGACAGACCAGGCAGGGTCGTGATACAGTTGTGAATAGAAGACGGAGTGATCATAGCTAGGTTTTGGGAAGACTTGCATACAATGTATACAAAAGCATTTACCCGGTACTTGCAAAGCAGCGTTTTTCAACCAGGGTGCAGCAAGAAAATTTAATTATCCCCTCGCCGACCAAGTCGGAGGGGATATAGTAACGCTGCCGTCCGTGCATGCGTGCGTGCGTGCGTCCGTCCGTCTGTAACAAATTTGGTTTCCGATCGCTAACTTTAGTAATGTTTGACGGATTTTAATGAAATTTGAAATGAAGGTACATGATATCAAAATACAGGCTAAGTCCGATTGTGGAGTACGTAGGTCAAAGGTCTAGCATTGTATATAAGTTTGAACCCATAGCCTGCAGGAATCTGATGGTTCCTGTATACACCTGCATGGGAATGAGAAAATTCAGAAGTAAACAGGTTAAAATATATCAACCAGAGGATTAACTGATGAAAGATATCTTGTTCTTCACTAATACTCTTATTGATATTTTTGCTTGATTTGTCTTTTGTTGAGCAGACAGTTTTGGAGGGACCTCCCAAATTAGTCAGCCATCTCCGGGCCTTTCCCAGTCTATTCCCTGGAGCTATGAGATGCTGGAACCTGGTCTAGTCTGTCACGACAAAACTGGGGACATGGTCCTCGAGACCATTAGGAATGAGGCTAACAGAATCCTGGTTGCTTTCCTGGACCAACAGCTCCAGCATGAGGGTCTGGACCCAAGCTGGGGAGAGAAGATCCTTCCTCTGGCCAAGAAAATATGCTCTATGGTAAGGAATGACTGACAATGAAATAGGTGATCGTAACTCTGACCCTAACCTAATGTAAACCTTGATCGTGATACTGAATCTAATCTAATGTAAAAGTTAATCATAACACCGACCCTAACCATAAATATTTAAGGAAATGAAGCTTACAGCAACTGTAGACCACTGCAATTTGATAAATAAGCTATTTCACTATGTAATATTACCATTTATACAACACCTATGTGGATCCTTGTCATTTGATTGGAGGATTGTTGGTCACATGATATTCAATAAATGTTCTATTGCACCGGCATGCATTTTTGGTTATATTTGCCGTGCATTTTTGGTTATATGCAGACTGCGTACCTCTGTGCCGTGGCATATCCCTGCGTGTATCTGACGCGAAGGCAATCTGAATGTAATCGAGAAGGCTCGACTCCAACTTTAATTTATTAATTAATTTAATATAAGGAGTAAATCATAATTTGTTGATTAACGTTCTATTAGATCTTCTTCAAAGTTGTATACCGGTAAAACAAATAATGAATGTTTTTCTTTCGTTCAATAGTGCGAATATTTTCATTCGTTGAAAGATTAATGTTACTTCTATTCAACTCGGCTGACGCCTCGTTGAATAGAATGTTAATCTTTCAACTCATGAAAATATTCGCACTATTGAACTCATAACCATTCATTATTTGTATAATATTGGGTACCACTATTGAAAATGAAATCACTTCTTATTATTCAGTAAGAGTGAAGATTAAGTTTTGGTATTGTATTTTTGCTGTACGTGAAGAAAGCCTATCATTTTCCTTTTAAAAACATTTTTCTTCACAAGGTTAAGCCAAATGTAGCTGCAGGTGACGCGATGGATATCAGGTATTACGTTCATATCAAGAGGGTCCCAGGAGGCACTAGATCGGAGTGCTGTCTGGTGAAGGGGGTCATCTGTACCAAGAATGTGGCTCACAAGAAGGCAAGTAGCATTAATGGTAGTTTTGTTTACCTTGCCTGATGCTATGTTTCTTGGTACCATTGTGCTGTTGTTTGTGCAGCTATTGCACAATGCAATTGGACGGAGGTGGTAAAATATCTCTTTTTAAGTTTCGTTGTTGTAATAATAAGCTGCCAGCTATCAAATGTTGGTATTTATCTGATCAACCTCTTGAGTTATGTTCCCTATGTAATCTTAAGGTACAGGGTAATGAATTTCATTATGTTCTGGTGTGCCCAACATTCAATGATTTTCGTAAACAGTATGTTAACAAATATTATTACAGTAGACTTAAAGTTATCAAATTTCATCAGTTATTCAATGCAAATTATGTTGTTAAAGTTAAATTCAGTTAAAGAACTTTCCCAATTTTGTATTAAGATCATTGTGTCTAAGTTGGGATAATTTGCATTTTGTTTTGTCCTTTTTAATACATTAGACTTTTGGTTTAATGTGTTGTTGTCATTTTTAGTATCATAGTGTACATATATGTATTATGGTAGTGTTAGGGTGCATTTAAGCTCAATTTTGAAGGCAGAATGAGCGATTTGAAATGCACATCGTAAACGCTCATCGTGGTGTACTGTTTATGCTCACTTCTCTGGCTCCTGCAGGCAATTCTCGCTGGGTGGCCTTAATTGGCCTTGCAGCTGGATTCGCAAACCTGCATTGTGCATGCTACGTAGACCCACTAGAGGTCAGTGCGTTGACCCCATTTAAACGCGTTTACTAATTGTAAACGCACCTTTTTGTGAGTTTACGATCGGCGATCATGATCGCCGTTTTTCGGTGATTCTACAAAAGTGAGAAAGGACGCAACCGTGTTTTGAACTAAACGCGTAACAGATGCCTGATTCTGGCCAGAAAAAGTTGAGCATAAACATACCCTTAGTACTGCCAGTTGAGATATAAGGTATTACATGTATGTATTTTTAAAAGTATATCTTAAAGCTTGCCTTCATTTGTTTGTTGTTCACTGCCAAAGATTTGTTTATATATTTTTTAATATCATTGTTGAACATTATGTTTGTACTATTCAACTGTATTTCTTCCATGCCCCAGAAGGGGCTCTTAACCCTTTGCCTATGGGAACCGGGTGCTCTGTGTACAAAGTCTATGGGAATATCAGAATCTCAAAGGGAACGGGTTAAAGAAATAAAAATCATTGCCATTGTCAGTTGAGAGCTAAGACAACTGCATCAAAGTTACACTATACATGTTAGTATGGTTGAAGTGCCATGGTTTTGGTGGATAAGGCACTGGATTCAATGGTACACCGTTCAGCACTACAAAAACAAATATTTATCTGCAAGGTGTTAATCTGTATGTGCCACACTTAGACCCTTGTGAGGTGTAGGCCTACACAGTGGGAAGAAATCTCTTGAAATGCTCAAAAGCCTTTTGAGCCTTACCAAATATATAACTGAGCATTTAATCTGAGTATAATGATCACTAATACACATTGTATGAAGATGTAATTCTTTGTTGTTGCCTTTTTTAGATGTTGCAGAAGCAAAATAATCCAAGTATTCTCATATTGCAAGCAGCCATTGAGCACCAGAGAGTCCAGAATAAGTTGGCTTCATTGGAACCTCTTGTTCTTCAGGTAGATCTAACTACATCCATTATTTGTTCTATTTCACTGCTGGCTGAAACCAAAATGAATCATTAAAGCTGATCGGTATTGGTGTATATGAATCTATATGTTGTATACCTATGTATATGAGAGATGTTGATTTGTATCAAATCAATCAATCGATGAGTTATCTTTCCAAGCCTTGGACTTGAGTAGAGTACTTAAAGGTAATACAAAGTTTTGGTATGGGGTCATGAATTTGGCTCAAATGAACATATTGGAAGCATATGGGAACCTACAATATTCAGTCAACGTTGTCTCGGTTGAAATCGAGTCTTAAGTTATGAAATTATAAATAATTAACTCTTTATGCTGTATAGCTCCCTCTCAAGGTCAAGATATTAATTAAGCTATAAAACAATGTTTCTTGACTAAAATATATTTATATTATATATATATATAATATATATCACAACTACATATTCAGAGATTTTCATGGTAACTATTGTATGGCCGTAGGAGCTATTTGAAATTTATCAAAATTTACCGGGAGCACCAGTAAATTTTTATATTCCATTTTTCTCGAAAGCAGAAGTGTTTTAGGGGCTAAATTTTCTAGTGCTTATAATACATCCACAGGGGCATCCGAATGTATCAAAATTGTAAAGAATCACTATCCACCCAATTTTCAAAATTTCCCAAAACTTTGTATTACCTTTAATGTGTTGTAAATTGATTTAATTTGATTTATGTTAAATAAAAACAACATTCAGCATATATTAAGGTAAATCACAACATGGCTAAAAATGATACAGATACTCATTCATTTTTACTTTCCTTCATGACTGATCTCCTAAGGGATCAAAGGTTATGTAATATGGTTCAGAAATCTCTAATTAGTGCTCAGAAGTAGCCAGGATATTGCTAATAATCCCAAGATTTTTTCATCGAACAAGTGATTTTTTTTTAAATGCTGGCATTCCAAATAAAAGTTGTGTAGACTTCATTATTGTAGCTGTATCCAATACAAAGAAACTAAAATTTTAACCCATCTGACTCTTTCCAACACTGTATAAACTTTCAGAAAGGAATGCATTTGCTGAGTATTGACTTTTGTAGCATTTTTTTTTTTGGATCGTTATCTCACATTTCTTTGTTTTATCTTGTTACAGGAGCATGAATATCTCAAGAATTGTGTTTCCAAAATTGTTGCTCTCAAGCCCACAGTGTTGGTTGTGGAGAAGTCTGTAGCAAGACTTGCGCAAGAGTTCTTACGAGCTTGTGGAATCACCCTCGTACTCAGTGTCAAACCTGTACGTATAACAAACAATGCTGTCATCAACACCGTTTACCTTTTTTGATATTCCAGTATAAAATTTCTCCAACATCGACGCTGCGTTGACATGCAGTGTCAACAAAACTTATCATTTTCTTGGTGGAGCAAATGCATCATTGAAACTGAATAGGGCATTAAATAGTCATTCCCAAAATTAATGTTACAATGTTTGACTTCAGAGTTTTCATTACATGTTGAAAATGTCCATTAGTACAATGCCCATCCCTTGAATAATCAGTTTGCCCAATAGAATTAACAGAATATAAAATAAATGATCGGTTTGTTGGTAGGTGCGGTTTGATCGAAAAATCCCTGAAGATATATACACAGTTAAGGTTGATGGCCATTAGATAAAGAATTACCTGTAGACGCAGGTGGAGAATATCAGACTTTGTTTGGTTGCTTTTAATTTCTTTTAGAAAGTATTTGCTGAAGGTCGTTATTAATCGGATCTCTCTCTCTCATCCAAATTGAGTAGTTTTAATGTCTTCATTTCTTTTCTAACAAAGAGTTGCTAGGATTAGCCATTATTCCCCATCCAAATGAAATGGTTTGATGTCTTTATTTCTGTTCATGCAAATTGTTACTATTAAATGAAGCAGACTTGCCAACCAGTACGTCCAGTTTTAGTCGTATTTTGTACGATTTTTAGAAGCAAATATGTGTGTGTGCCATCTTCAAGGCAAAATGCCAATTCCGCTGTCCTGTAAAGTATACTTCAAGCATCTCACATCGGCAATTTGGGGATGTTCATTGGTTCATTGAACACACCAGCCGTGACAAAATCATGCATATTGAACCAATGATCAACAACAAAAAAATCTTCCTGTATGTAGGAACTGTAAGAGGCATTGATCCGTGTAGCAGTCCGTGTTTATTTTTAAGAATACAACTTTTGTCAGTAAAATACAAATTTTGGGATTAAAGAATACAGTTTTTGAACTCCAGAGGTCGGCAGGTCTGTATGAAGTCATTTCTATCACGTCTCGCTAAGTAAATTAAATGATTCAATTCTTCATTTCTTTTCTAGCGAGTAGTTGCTAGGATATCCCGACAGACAGAGAGCAGCAGTACATCCACCATTGATCAGGTCTCCGCGGCTAAACTAGGCACCTGCCACAATTTCTACCTTCAGAAGTACACCCTACCAGGAGGTACGACATTCACCTCTCACCCTTCTAATGTCCTCTTAAATGTTGATAGTGTGCAGAGTTTCATTGCAAAATTTAATATCTGGCATCCCCCCCCCCCCCCCCCCCAAAAAAAAAAAAAAAAAAAAAATATTTTTTACTTGAGCTGAATGTAAACCTTCCAGAACTTAGTTATGATATTGTATCAATCAAATCTACAGTTTGATTAAATAAGAACTCTTCTTGGACAGGCAATTGAATCCCACCACTTTTGTTTCTTTAAAATACCTTCAAAAGTATTAATACATGTATCAATACATGATAAATGTATTGTAAAGATTGTAAATTGTTGAATAAAAGTTGAGACTTACTTATAGTCATTATCATCATCATCATCATGATGGTGTAAGTCTCCTTGTTACCGGTCTCCATCTCATCCTGTCTGTAGCCAGCTCCAAATCAATTTCTCTTCTGTCTCTCTTGATACATTCTACCTCTTCATGAGTTCTACTTTCTCTTTTCAATTTTGATCGATGAGTAATACATTGTATAAGATAGTGGGGCAATATCATTATAATAATGATAATAATAATAATCATTTCTATAGCGCCGTCTATCTAGAAATTCTATTCCGAGGTGCACTAATTATATATAAAAATTCAAACAGGCATGTAGGAAGTCTTTCTGATTTTCAGTTTCTAATAATCAGAAAGATTCTCCACAGTTAGATTTTCATATCTAATGCTATTTCAATTCTGTTAAACATCGTTGTTAAGTGCATGATGTTTTTATGGCTTCTTTATTCGGCTTGATCACAGGTTTTACCAAGACTTTGATGTTCTTTGATGGCTGCCCTGGTCATCTAGGATGCTCTGTCTTATTAAGAGGAGGCAGCCTCCCTGAACTCTCAAAAGTAAGTGCAGAAAAATTTGATAAAACTGCTTTTCCTGAACCCACAAAGGCAGATAAATATTCACCATATTACTGTAGGTAACCAGAACATTAAAACAAAATTAAGATGGAAGTTAGTGTTGTTATTTTTTATTTTTTATACAGGCAGATATAAAGGTTTAATCTTTGATATTACCTGCATTTTTGACTGTTTTCACTGTCCATGATTTTCCACCTTTTGGTTGTCCATAGTAAATAATTGCTTTACACCACCATAGAGTATTTGCACATCACCTTTGTGAATTTGAATCAACGAGTTTCATCACCACACAAATTTGACCTTTAGCCAACGTTTTTTTCATGCACTAGTCTAGATGTAAGTTTGACTTCACCTATGCACTCATCTTTATTATGCTTTTTAGAGGCCTCCAGTTGTGGCTAATATATAGTGAGGACTATTTCTTTAATACAATTCAAGCCTATGCATAATTAATATGTGTATACATTCTGTCTGTTAAGACTCATGTATTGAGGCTTGTGTTGTAGAGTATGGTGATTATGGTAATGATCTGAGTTACCGTGAGACTTACTTGGATAGTAAACATAGAAGTATCTTCACCACATGTATCTATACATACTTTGTTTAGTGTTTTGATCTGCCAATCTAATGCCATGGTAAAATGTAAATTAAATTCTTTCTGTTGAATTGAATTTTGGTTGTGCTTATAAATGATTGAAATCTGCCAGTGTTTTTTGTCTCACTCCAACTGAATGTTTGTCTCTAATGCTGATGGTATTTTGGGAATCTGGGAGTGATACATGTGTATTTGTTTGAACAATTTTAATATTCGGTAAAGGAAAATGTAGCACCTTGTTTGTTATACATTTTTCTGTGTATTTTTTGTATGCAGGTGAAGAGGGTGCTGAACCTCATGGTGTATGCTGTATTCCATTCTCGTCTTGAGACCGCATACCTCAAGGATGAGTTTGCCAAGCCCCCTCTCACCCCTTCCCCAGCAGGCAGCCCCCCTAACTCCCCACCGTCGCCCATGGGCCAGACGCCTGGAAAACAAGCTATCAAGGACACTGGAACCATTCATGAGGTCATCAAGGCAGTCAGAATCGAACAGGCCATGATCAGGAAACCACCTCAGGGTGTGGACAGCAACGCAGGAGAGAAGGAAACAAGCAATGTTGCTGTGGCTACTCCTCCGTTGAGTCGTAGCCGATTCAGAGCCACGGTTCAGAAACTCCTGATGGGGAAGGGGAGTGAAGGAAGTGATCACAGCGTGAGTAGCAGTGCGGCCGGGAGCAGGAGAGGCAGTGATGGTAACGAAAGCAACGAGAGGACAGGAGCTGCAGGACTAGCAGACAAAGAAAGTTACAAGGAGATGCTGACGGGGGCCACTAAGCTTCCTCATGCTAACAGTTATCCTAGCTTTAATGTATCATCAGAATCAGGGAGCAGCAAGAAGGATGCAAAGGGTACTGAAACACAAGGGAAACATGATGATGATGCGGTGGAAGGCTTATCAAGACGGGGAACTGATTCAAGCTCCAGTATCAGTACATCAGAATATGTCCTTGTTGATGAAAGTGAGGATGCCAACTCTCAAACAGATGGTGAACTAAAAGAGATTAAAGGGAAAGACTATGAGGTGCATAAGCTCACTGACAAAGAAGAAGAAGAAAATGTCTTCAGCTTTGATGTAACGGGCAGTGACAGTGAGGTAGAGGAAGCTATCGAATCAGTGGACGGAATGGACCTATCCAGACCATCCATTGAAGATAGTACATCGGAGAAGGAGGACAAGGAAAGATTCACCAGGGCCTTCAATAACACCATCCTGACCATCTCTCCGTTCCTGGCTTTTTCTGAACCTTACTTTGAGACTGAAGAAGGGAGGCATTCCCCCAGCCGGCACTTCTTCCCACGTAATGTCTTCTGGTCTCCAAAGCTCCAAGAGAACCCAGCAGATGTCTCCCAGGCAGCGGAGGCGCAGCTGGAAGACGAAGATCATAAAGACGACGTGGTGTACTGGTCGACGGATCGCTGCACCCACAAGATCAGCTCCATGACTACCGTACAGCCCCATCCTTTCACTTTCCTGCAGCTGACTGAAGACTTCTTGTCAGAATCCACGAGGACTCTTCTCGCAGACTTCCGTGCCCGGGGAGGGCGCTATATCGCAATGGACCAAGCTGGCTGTGCTCACACCCCATCTCAGAAAGCCCTCATGGGTCCGCACGAGCACAAGCCACATCACCAACAGAACACGAACCAGCAATACCTGATAGCCAGGAAAGGCAATGAAGACACCCAAGAGTACCAGTCTCAACACCCCATCTTCGATTGTCTTGATCCCTACCACCACCAGAAGATTCTTCTCCAGTTCAGCAGCTACTCACATCACTCGGGAAACATGCCAGGTCACTGCATTCCTCCCAGGATTGTAACCATGGAGTTCTATGGATACAATGATATTACCTTAGGCATGTTCCTTGATAGATACTGCTTCAGGTAATTCCATGATGATAAATAAAAAATAAAAGTCAAGTCAAACTTTAAAAAAAAAGTAGTCTGGAGGCCTTGTAATGGTAAATAGTGCAATCCTTTGGGAATTACACTGAATGTTGAAGACTAAAAATTGATATAGAAATGACCTGCCTGCTGCCCGTCTATGAGTTATGTAGTTGAAATTCCATATACATTGCCATTGTTCAACAAGTGTTAAATGGGTACCCTCTGGGATGAGAGAGTCATTGTGAATTAAAATGGTGCCTGGATGGAATGCTCCCAGGGAGAGGACATTGTGTGCAAGCAATCCCCAATTCTATGATCATGATGATAATATACATGTATCATAACTTCACTTGGAGACATACCTATATAATGGGGAGTGTAAACGCAGAATTTAATATTGTTATCATAAGTAGTAGTAATAATAGTAGTAGTAGTAGTAGTAGTTGCTGTAGTAGTAGTTGCTGTAGTAGTAGTAGTAGTAGTAGTTGCTGTAGTAGTAGTAGTAGTAGTAGTTGCTGTAGTAGTAGTAGTAGTAGTAGTTGCTGTAGTAGTAGTAGTAGTAGTAGTTGCTGTAGTAGTAGTAGTAGTTGCTGTATTAGTAGTAGTAGTAGTAGTAGTAGTAGTAGTAGTAGTAGTAGTTGCTGTAGTAGTAGTTGCTGTAGTAGTAGTATATTAGGGGGAGTGTAAACACAGAATTTAATATTGTTATCATAAGTAGTAGTAATAATAGTAGTAGTAGTAGTAGTTGCTGTAGTAGTAGTTGCTGTAGTTGTAGTAGTAGTAGTAGTAGTTGCTGTAGTAGTAGTAGTAGTAGTAGTAGTAGTTGCAGTAGTAGTAGTAGTAGTAGTAGTAGTAGTAGTAGTAGTAGTAGCAGTAGTAGTAATAGTAGTTGCTGTAGCAGTAGTAGCATTAGCAGTAGCAGCAGTAGTAGTAGCAGTAGCAGTAGCAGCAGTAGTAGAAGCAGTAGCAGTAGCAGCAGTAGCAGTAGCATCACTAATTTTATCACTTTATCACATTATTTTTATGATTATTTTGACATTTCCCTTTTCCCCTTTGATTTCCAGCGGCAACTATCTGTGTCCGAGTGAGACCTGTGACACTCTGATGGCTAACCATGTAAGAAGGTTCGTTCATGGTAACGCATCAATCCAGGTCCTTCAGAGACAGCTTGATAGTCCTGTCCCTGGCTACAAGAACAAGGTCCTCATGTGGAGCTGGTGTCGCAAGTGTAAACAGGTAAATGATGGAGGGTGTGAAGAAGGAAAGGAGTGAGAGAGAGAGAGGGGGGGGGGGGAAGAAGACAGAGAATTTAAACACATCATTGAATGTGAACATGGATTGAGGGTGAGATGAGAGGCAAGGGATTATGGAGAGAGGGGAAAGGGATGGGAAGGAGGGAGGGAAGGGGAGGAGAAAGGGAGGGTTTAAGATACTGATACACATCTGATGTCTACATGTATTTGCATCAGTGTTGTAGTGCACTTGACGCTTGACCTTGCTTGGCCTTGATGCAATGCCTTGACCTTGGTCATGGATGCCTTGGCCTTGAGAGTTCAAAGCCTTGATATTTCAGAATAAATTCAAGGCCTATAAGAATAGAGAAAAGGGGACACAGAAGAGTGAGAAAAGAGAAAAGACAGAGGAACAGAGATGAAGAATTTCAACACATCCATGAAAATGCGCAGGTACCAGTGAATGCAAAGAGATGCATATTCCACAGTATTCTATTCTATTATTTTGTATTATTCACTGCCCCCCCCCCCCCAGGTGACTCCTGTTCAACCGATGTCCCGTGATACCTGGCATGTGTCGTTTGCTAAGTATCTGGAGATTCACTTCTATGGTAAGGACTATGGTCGTCATAGTAGCTCCTCCCCTTGCTGCCACTCCCTCCATCATCATCACTACCAGTACTTTGGGCAGCACAACATGGTCGCATCTTTCAAGTAAGTTACAGGATACTGTTTGGCACGATAGCTCAGTTGATAGAGCAGTGGTCTCGTTATCCGATGACCCGGGTTCGAAACCAAGGTGATGCGCTAGTGCCCTTTGGTAAGGCATTAATCCTTACTACCAGGTCCCTCAGAGAGAACCTAAAGCCGTTGGCTGTCTGGTTCCTTACTAACAAGCATTTATGCTTTCATAGCAGTCAGGTAAAATAACCACCACTACACATTTCAACCCCATTGTAAATGTGGTTTCAATAAATTGAAAATATTCATGTGATTACTGATTTACAAGTGAAGATAAAAACATAAACCTAGTCTGGCCATGTACACATTTAGATAAGGTATATGCACATGTTTAAAGTCAAAGAGACTGGAAATGAGAAAGATTTACTGAAGAAAGGTAAATTTAGTTAGAAATAGACAGTAACAAAGAAAGAGAGAGAGAGAGAGAGACATAGTCAAAGAAAAAGAGAGACATAGAAAAAGAAAGAGATAGATAGAGTTACTGAATGACTAACTGACAGAGATGAACAAATGTGAACAGTTTGGCATAATGTTCTCTTATTCACGCTGGGAGAGATATAGAGAGAGGAAGAGGAGGAGATGGCATACATGTAATTTGTTCTACACTTAACAAAAGTAACTGCCTCTGATGAAAAAAAAAAATCTATTTATTGCTTTTCAGATTCAGTCCCATTATCTTGAGAGAGATTGCATTCCCACCTCTTCCAATCACTGTAGAACAGCCATTCAGGGCTCACAAGCAATACCTAGAAGAGAGCAAAACCCTTGCCATCAGGTAGGTCATACTTCCAGAAAATACAACACTTGTACCCAAAAAAAGAGTGATGTGTCCAGAATTATTTTAAAAAAAGAGGGGGTTGTCATAATTATATGTGTAAGAAAAAAGAAAATATTTAGAGAAACATAATTATGTTTCTTCAACTGGGAGAGATAAGCAAGTCCAACCTACTAGGGAAACTGCATCATTTCAGAGTGAGGTGGGGGAGAGGGTAGGAAGGTAGGGTAGGGGTTTTAAAAAAATATCTACAATTGTGTTTGTTATTTCTAACTCGTAACATATAACTCTTCAAAACACTCATCCATAAACTGTTGTAAATGATCTTAATGTGGGAGGGGGGCAAGTGAGAAGGCAAATGTTTTCACTGAGAGGGGAGGGGTATGGGTCCTTCCCAGCTCCCCTTGTGCCACCACTGCTTAAAACTTACTCAAGAACTGAAAGAAATCATTTTTAAACATGGTTCACTTTTTTCTCTTGTGTCTTTCAGAGGCAATCAAGTGTTCCGTGGTATATCTGGTAACATATCTAGTCTGACAATAGGTAAACCTAGCCAGCATCTGGAGCAGAAGGAACAAGAGTTCACCAGTCAATATGAGGTATTAAAGGCATCGTTTAACAATGTTAAATCTGAGATGCAAACAAGTTGTGCTTCAAAATGATCATGAAGTGCTTCAAAAAAGTAAAAAATCTTTGAGTGACCGCTTTTACTATACTCATTTTCCCCAATAGACTGTAGTGTTATAAAAACTGTTGATTAAATTTTGATTTCCAATCATAAATATATGGATAATCAGACAGGTGATTGGCTTGTAAAAGTCATGGGATTCCTGATTGACCTAAAGGTTTTTAATTATGATTGCAGCATGAGCTAAATCCAGGATTTATTCCAGAATCTGAGGCAATGTTACCTAGTCATTTTAATGATGTCAGTGAGAAATTGAGTCATGGGAGCAGAGAAAGAAAAGGAGTCCTGAAAAGCTCAAAATGATATCCAGCAGCTTTCATGAAGAGATCTTGTTATAAAAAACAATAAATCATAATAATTCCTTTAATCCAGTGACCGGGTTGATAATGCTGTATAAGCGCTTTGGTCGGTTAGGCTGTGACTGGTAAAGCGATATATAAGAAACAGCTATTTTGATTATTATTCTTTTAAAATCCATAGAAAATAGTAGAAGATAAGAAATGGCAGTTCTCAATAAGAAGTCTTCAGGAATTGTCATCTGACAATCTTAAACTTGTATGACTGATCTTGTTAAAATAAAAAAAAATTATAATGAAGGATAAAGGGTAATTTTTTTTTTTCAATAACTCCATGATGAAGAAGAGATTCCTAATAAGTCAGCCTAATGCAAGTCAGAAGTGCAGTCAAAATTTCTTCAGTAACCACATTTTTGTTTTCCTTGAGCAGTGCTACTTAGTGAGACATATATTAACCGATTAGATACACTTAATATTGGTATAGCGTGCATTTTCCTCAGAATCCAGTCTGAGATATCCCTGGCTTAGTATCCAAGGGGTTAAAGAAACCTGTCCATAAAGACCACCTAGCGATAACAACTGCTTATCTTGCCTGGTTTGAGTGGTCTTCATATTTGTGTTTGACTGTAATCTTCCTCATCATTTCATTTTATTTGGCAATTAGTCAGCGTTGATTACTTTTTGGCATATCTTTTACTTTTATTTATATGGAAATGTGAAATAAATGGTAAATGTTTTGTCACATCATTATGACTTTATTTACTTTTGTTTTCTTCTCTCTTTAAACATGTGAGAAATTATCAGTGACAAGTCCAATGTACACTCTATACCCCCACATAAGTGCACTGACACTTACCCTTACCCTTGTTTAAATGCCATGATCTTACCAGTAGTATATTTTGTGCTGTTAATCTTGTTTTCAGACTGACTTCAATCGTTACAAGCAGCATATGGATGAAGTGGAGGCAAAGGTGACGCAAGTTGAAAAATGGAAAGCAAGCCCTGACAAGAAAAGAGATAGCAGTGGGAATGACTGTAAGTAATAAAACATGGGTCTTTTCACAATGAGGTATTTCTGCTGCATATGATTTGACTGGTAGCTTGTATTCATATTCCATTCAAAAGCTAGCAGTTCAGTTCCAGTTTTTATTTTCATTACCAAAAGAAGATTCAATATAAATAATTATGATTTTAAAAAAAATCAACTACAGAAATCAATGTACTTTAATATAATGCATTTTGCAAATCATTAATTGAAGTACAAAAGAGACAACAGGCATATGTTATGAATGGAAATACTATGAAAAAACAAGTCGAAATTTATAATTATCAATTTTTTTTGCTATAACATCCCTGATGAAGGAACGAGCTGCGTTTTGAAAATGTGGAGATTAAAATTTACATCAATCAGCAAATAATGCATTACACAATTGTCTATTTTATGTTCATGTTCTCTGTACTCTGTAGGGTCCGATTTCTGCCTTGAAGATCAGTTGCTTGACATTGAAGACTCCATCGTTATTGCCAAGAGATGCTTAGCTGAAATCAACTTCTGTTGGAATACAAGGTATGTTTATTGTGCAAAATGATAATATGTGTAGTTGAATAGGTAGGCTTCCTGTCACTTATCGAAATTATTCTGTGTAGAAGTGGTATTCATCAGTGATACTGACCGATTTTATGCTAATGATCTTACTTTTATCCAATACCTCTCCTGCATAGACAGACTTTGTTATTATCGTATACACTGAAATGTGACAAGTCCTGAAGTTGCACTTTTAGCCTTTGAGTGCTGTAGGAAAATAGAAGTTAGAACTTCCCTAATTTATGTATTGAATCCAACATATCTGGAAAAAATGCTTCTCTTAGTTTTTTAATTGTTAAAAAGCATTTATGAATTTCGAATTCAAGAAGTTATGGAATAATGCTTATGTTACGATGACAATGAAAAAGCGATTGTTTACGATTGTAAACCTGTCATATGGAATCTTCTTTTTACAAGATGTTTGTAGGTTTGATAGAGTCAATATGTATATATATATATATATATATATTATGTTTTTTGTGGTAGTGGTTATCAGTTAATTTGTAAACATGCCAAATAAAAAAGGGAATCAAACAAAATTGTGTAAGTCAAATCAGATCAAATTAATTATTAATGAAATTCGCCCCTCCGTACTCAGAAATTTAATGGGAGTCTGGTGAAATCCATTCTGACTGAATGTACTACTTACCCTCATATCATGATTGTAATGGTATTCACCTACTGGTACTTGTACTTGTATACCTATTGTTTCAGATTCCATGATTTCCTGCAGCACGAGAAGGACTTGGAGAAGACGAGAAAGAGAGAAGGAACAAGCCTAAGCCGCAAACCATCTGCTGATCTAGATACCCCTACACCAACAAAATTAGAGGTATATCACTCTCCTAAGAAAACTATTATTCTTTACGAATAATTACACTTTCCTTTTGTGACATTTATTTTGAATAGGATGTCATAGATTGTATGTTTCTCTGTTTGTATTTTGTTTATTTGCCTCCCTATATTCAATGGATATTTCACAGGATAAAGTAAAGTAGCATGATTTGAAAAATACGATGTTACACAAAAAACAAAGTTTCCCCCTCCCCCTAGATGTTTTAAAAAACTACCTTTAAACAAGGAGAAATATTTGATTATTGGCATTGATTAGATTTTCTTTATGCCATACTGTGCACTTGTTTTTACTTCCAGTCTAAACCTGCTTTTCCTTTTGGACTAACACCCCCACTAACACCCATGCTTACATTGGAGCAGTCCAGTCCTGTATTCCTCATCCTACCTCAGCAGGAATCTTCCATGAGCAAGCCAGGGGGGTTGGCTCCTACCCACGTGAAACGCTTGGAGACTCTTCATGAGAGGAGAAGCGAAGGTCGTCAGAGAGAAGACAGTGATGGTAATATCTTGTGAAAAGGGTTATCCCATGATCCATTTCCAAACTTGCAGATTTGCATGCATGGTTAGATTTTTTATTCTGTGATTCTTCTTTTGCATGCTGTAAATCTAAGCTGATTTTTCTTGCTGTGAGTTGTAGTCAAAATTTGTGAGCTGTGATGGATAGCTTTAAAGCTTTGATCTTTATTTCAATTGTTTTAATAGTTTTAGTATTTCGTAAGTTGACCTTACAGCTAATTTTAAGATAATTAGTGAACAAAATTCAACTCGGAATGCCACCAAAGTTTGTATATACATGGGCAGTTAGTAGTGCTGTTTTTATTTGTGTAGTGCTCGAGCATGATTGTATGTACCAAACCTTTCTTCAAACTTGCGTATATATGTAACATTGTATCCTTCCATGTACGTTTATATGTTACTAACATATTATAAAGCAGCTTTCCAGTAGATAGTCATTCCTACATCTGCATGTTTGACCCTTCCATCCTCCTATCCCATCATGCATTTCCTTCTTGTACAGTCTCTATGCTCGGTGACCTCTCTTTGACCTATGACACATCAGCCAGGTATTTTGATTACGGTATCTCACCGGGCCTGGTTGCTGGCCTGGAGTACAGGCCAAGCGATCCTATGGATATCTCAGCACAACGTGAGTCAATGGAGAATTTAAATATCCGTATGATGGTGTGATCATAGTTCACGGCGACCTTTAAGAGAAGGTTGAGTTTTGGGAAGAGTTGAAAAATTATTTTTGAGCGTTTTTATTGTACATGTATTATGCAAGTGTAGAAGAACATCAGATAAAACACGTTCCCTGAAAAGCATGACTCTTCAAATGCCTGAATATTCTAAATATGGCATGTAACATCATAAAAATTGGGACGGATTTTTTCGCCACATGTTCGTTTAGTCCCATATACATCTTTCTGTGTACAGTGCTTGTAACTTTACCAAGACTGGGCCAAATTTTTTAGCATTTTGATGATTCCAGAACCTTGCAATACACATAAAAACTTATATGCTAGATGATCAATCGTTTTTGAACGATTCCACAGCGTGAGTCTTTCACAATGCAATCGCTTGACCAGTACTCAACCTTCTCTTTAATTCACGGACAGTTCCATGTCACAAAAAGTCAGCAAGATTTAGAAAATCCGATATCACCAATGGAAAGAGGAACATAAAAATACCTAGTAATGAAATTTTCTTTGGAATTGAGTGTGAAACTATGAAAATATTGACAAAAGATGGGAAACTTTAGCAGCGTCTTGCATCCCTTCCCAAAAAATATGAACTTACTGACAGGGGTCTGAAAATCTTCATTTCCAGAGAAGATGTCATCAAAATTGTGAGCAAAATGTGATGCCAACTAATTGTATGATATTTTGCCTTCCAATTTATGCAATTATCTTACCTTTGGTGGATCAGTCTTTTGGATAAATCAGCTGTAATACCTTACTGTTTATTTGTATGTCTTTTCATTTAGTTGTATCACACGCCGCTCTGACATAGAATTTTGAAATCGCAATATTGCTAGAATTTTTTGGACTATAAGTTTCTAGTAGCACCCAATTGAGTCCAAAATTTGGACATTTATTTTGTACTAATTGATCTAAATGGATTTGTGTAGAATATGAGAAATCATGGATCTAATGTTACATTCTTACTTTTTTTTTTAATACCCGCGAACTTTGGACACCCCATCATACTTCATAAAGAAATGATGACCCAATGGCCCATGCTTCTGTCGCAGTTGCTCTGCGCTCTATTTCTGACTCAAATTAACTTAGATCCTGACTTCAACTCCAGACCCAACAACCTCACCCTAACACCATTGTACATGTACCTAACCTAAACCCAATCATACCCCAAACTTAATCCCTAACCCAAACCCTATCCTTAACTGTTCATATTTGACATAATAAAAGCCTGAAGCAAATGTTGCATGAGCATGTGTTTGATCCCTTTTTAAAAACAAAATGTATTTCTGTGCATTATAGAGGTAAATGATTGGAAATTATTAAAAATTTGAAATTGTGCAACATTCTTGATAGTGAATTTTATAAAATCATTTACCAGTATATTTATCAGGTCAGTGTGATATTTGTGCTGTCAGGAGGGAATGGACGACAAGCATGTCCATAATAATAATAATAATAATAATTTATGCACATGTAAGGACTTGCATAACATAGGGCCTGCACATGCATGCACAAGGCTGACTTGGGTTCTGTGTTTGGGGTTTTATGTTATGCTTAATTTTCTTCATACCCTTCATCCATTAGCCCACAGAATGCAGGGTGAAGTTTTTTTTAGGTTAATTTATCAATTCTAGCTGTACACAAATTATTTTGAGAGTGATTAATACACTTTTACACTTATATTACCCAAACCATGACGCTATATGTATATGATGTCACTAAAGAAGGTACATATACATTTAAGGTCAAATCAGTCATAATCTTTGTACAATTAGATGTATAGATCTGATAAAAGTCTTTTGTTTTTAAGATTGATTTGCTGACTTTCCTTTTCAAATATACATTGTAGCAATTTTTTAACCCAGTTTGCACTTGTCATCAGAATATATGAAGTTTTGTTTTCTAACTATTATTTACAAGTTGTGTGAATTATATTTAGCTTATTTATTTGTGCAGTGTGTGATCACTTTGTCTGTCTGTTTTGTTTTTAATGCACTTTGTTGTGTACTTGTGATGGAACTGTGAACTTGTGAAGTTATGATTGATATTTTCCTGTTTCCTGTTGAGTTCCATCAAGTTCTGACATGAACGGCTTCTGACATATATCGGGCAATAATCCAAACTAGGTTAGCATTCAGTCAAAGTGTACCTGTATGAAATTACATGTAGAAGTGCACCACTTTAACACTAAACAGTAAGTTTAGAGCAGATTCAGTCCCTTCTAAAATAACAAAGAAGATCAGTCCTAACATACATGTACCTACGGGAAGCTTAGTAGTACATTTCCGTAGTTACTAAACAATAAAATAGGAAAAGATAGGCATTTGTTTAAAAATGATTCCAGTTTTACAAATCTGAGATGCATGGCCCTACTTGTTATTTATAGTGTTTGTGATATAGTGCAATATTGAAGCCCTGAAAAAAATTGCGCGTCAAAATGATCATGAAGTGCTTCAAAGAATTAATAATCTTTGAATGACTGGTTTTACCATAGCCATTTTCCCCAATAGACTGTAATGTTGTTCAAAACTGTTTGGCAAACGTTTTTTTTCTAATTCCAATCGTAAATATCTTGACAATCAGACAGGCGATCGGCTTGTAAAAATCATGGGATTCCTGCCTGACCTAAAGGTTTATAATTATGATTGCAGCATGAGCTAAATCCAGGATTTTTTTTAGAATCTGAGGCAAAGATAACCAATCATTTTAAGTAGTTGGAAAGCTTTCAGAAGGACACTAAAAACCATTATCCATCTGTGGCATTAATGATAGTATTGATTAATACACAGGTGTGAGTGCATTATGGTTGATGCAGCGCATGAGGGTATTCACTATAGTGCAATAAATTCATGATCGAGGCGTAGCCGAGTGTATTTTGTGCCATTGTGAATACCCGAATAGTGCTGCATCGCCATAACGACACGAACAAAAACCTTTGTATTATTTGTTTTATCAAATGGGTCCACAATCTTACTTAGCAAGGCCATAAGATCACTTGCAACAACCTTCATCCACGGTTGTTATCACCAAATGCACCCCATACAGATGGTACCGTGCATATAGTAAAAAATAATGCACAGTCACGTGATCCATTATGACGCTTCTCATTGGCTACATTCTTGAACACATTTTATAAATCCTTTTAGCCACAACTGACATTCCTGATCCATCTCCACGAGGATCTGTGAACTTCATGCAAGGATCTCCGCAAACAGGACTAAGCCTTGGTCCAGTTCCAGGACAAGTTCAAGCAGGAGACGCCAACAAAAGTGAGTGAAAAAGTCATACTAGTCATGTTTCTGTGTATGTATGACACTGTTGATAATGATTCTTATTTTACATATACTTCTACACTTTTGAATGCACATATGGTAATATTTTCATTAATGACTGCATCATAGCTGTTAAAAGAGCAATCCACCCTGTGTAAATAAGTTCATTTCTATGAAAGCAGAGAAATCTGAGGAACAAAATGAAAAAATGTTTGAAATAAATAGGACCAATGAATAGAGAGTTATGAATATTAGAAATAAAAGATCGCTAAAGCTATACAAATCTCATATTTGTAATTTCGCCAGTGGATTGTGACATATTCATGGACAATTACCATCCCATTTGCTGTGTATGAAATATTGTTAATTTTTAGTTATGAAGTGCCTTCTGGGGCACTACTCAAAATATATTATGGATAACATATTATTATAGGTTCTCTAAAACTAAAAGACCATTCTGGGTCATAAATTTTTAAAATTGACATTTTAGTCATTTTGTGTGTTAAAACAAATGGGAATGTTGTTCGGCACTGCGTTACACTCACATTCATAATTTTGTATTTTATGTAGGAGTTCATTAAAACTTTCACCCACCAATCAGCTTCTCTGATTTTCTGCTTTTGTTTAAAGTAGAGGTCTATCAAGGTTAGATTTTCCCTTTATTGGAAGTTCACAAAACAACATTTGACTGTGTAATGCTATGCAAGAAGAAACACATTCTAATTCATCTGATTTGTATTTAAAGTTTTGATATTAATAGTCCTTTTTTTTATATATTGCATGCTCCTATGTATGTGGAAGTTTTAGTACTTTGGAACTTTTAGCTCTGACAAGTTTGAACAGAGTGTAGTGCATTTCAAGGCATAAAACCAATATTGAACAGCTACATGTAAGTCTTCACTTACAACACCCTGTCCAGCTTTACCATATTTTTTTCTATACTCTTCCATACCCTAGCCTACTGTATCATACTTTATTTCCTTTCTTCTCTTATATGTTTAGAAGGAGACTTGGAGAAGAGCTGTGAAACTGTGAATTCTAGCGGTAAACAAGCAGCTCAAGGCTTCATCATAGGGGACGAGAGGATAGATGAAGGGAAAGATGGAGGCACTGAGGAAAGTGAGAAGGGCATCCCCATTTCTTCGGGTAAGAACTCAATATGTCTGTAATGGTATTGGAGATGGTCTAACATGGCAGGGCAAAGGGTATAATGACAATGCAAGATCCACATACATGTAACATATACCATTCTTGAGGATTTTCTTCTTGTTTAAACTTATCTTATAGAAATGTTGTCAAGTTTAAAACCAAGAGATTGGCTAGATTGTTAAGAATGTTCTCCCTTTATTCATTTATATCTAACATTGTAGATGTATTTAAACCCCCCCCCCCAAAAAAAAAAAGAAAAAAAGGAATGGTTCTTTCCTTGAGTTAGGTACTTAATCCCTTTTTGAATTGTCTTATATTTACACTTGATATTTTAGTAATTTTCTGTTGTTCTTTTTTGTTCACTTCCTGTAAGCGTGTGATGTTGTGATAAAGGAAAAAAAGGATGATTGGTAGTCATTACTCAGATGATGATGATGGTAATGGTGATGATGGTGATGATGGTGATGGTGATGATGGTAAAAGTGATGATTATGAAAATGATGATGACAACTGTGACAACAACAATAAGGATTTTGTTAATGATGTAGATGATGATGATCAAATAATTTTTGTATAACAGTGTTGATGATGATGATTATGATGGTTGTGGTGACTACCTGGATTAAATAGGACATTAAATGTGAGGATAGTGATAAACCATGATGTTCATGTAGACTTATGAAGCAACCTCTCAGTCTGATAGAGTGCATAATTATTCTCTAAATAAGTACACATTGCCTCTATTCAGCTGAAGAACCAACGGCTACTGTGGCCTCATCCTTGACTCAGTCCTTGGACATGACCGATGGTTGGAGTCCAGCTAAGACCAAACCTGGAGCGGTCAAAGGATTCCTCAATCAGTTCCTACAACACACAGAATCTACCCAGATAGAAACCCCTTTGTGAGTAACATCCATTTTTTAAATGGACTGCGAAGCCATGATCATTCCTGGAGTATTTACTACAGCCACTATGATCTTGTTACGTTTTGTGTGTGTGTGCACTTGTTCCATTTAATTCCTGTTTTATTTTCCAATTTCTGATTTCTGTTCTACTCCAATTAGTGCAAGATAAATTGATTTAAAATTTCAGAATATCTCTCTTAAAAACTATTCTGCAATTTTGGGTAGGTAATCATCTCTCTGATTTGATAGTTCTAAATTCGAGTAAATTAAGTCAGTTTTTAGGTGTCAACCTCTACAGCACTTCACGCAATCTGAAACATACATGTCTTGGTATAGAATACAAATATTGTCAATTAAAATATATTACGTTCATTATCAACACTTTTGGTAAAAGGAAAAATTTAAAAAATCATTCAAATAGATTTCAGCTCATGGACAATTATTCTCAATTACTTTATGAATTTCCAGTATCTTTGCTACCATCTATGTTATAATCTTAACAGTTTTATGTATTCATTTCAGAATTGTACAAGTCTTATTTAATAAAGTCCTTGCTTGAAATGATATTCATATCCATAGACAAGACACATTATTTTCCTGTTTGTCATCTGTTGTGGAAGAGTGCAACTAGAAGAGACTAAATACTTTATATTTTGTTCTTTTTTGTTATCCAGCCCAGCAGATGAGCATCATACTCTCCCACCATGCAGTGTGATACCAATCATTGTCTATGACAAGGAACCCAGTTCCATCATTGCGTATGCTCTCAGGTAAACTTTGAATATTATTATTATTATTATTATTATTATTACAAGCCGTAAATTCTAATATGTATTAAAGGGGATTTTCATGTTTGTAAAATACTTATTGAATATGTTTCCAAAGTGGAATTAGAAGCAAGATTCTATGGATAGCAATAAATGGATGGTAACAATGATATACAATTCCTATGAATTTACACTTTTAATTAATACTTTTTCAATGTTTTAAGATTTACATGTATTTGTACCTTAAAACAAATAAAATTCCCATCATTCTTCTCGAAACTACTTAATGATTTTTCATTCCATGAAATCTAAAATGATAAAGACAATCCATGCTCTTTCAATAATACGTCAAAATGTAAAATAGTTGTTAGAGCATAACAATATTATTATAATACTATCGCTGCAATATTATTCTCTGGTTTCAAGATTTTTTCTGACTTTTTTGACTTGTTTTCAATTACAGATCGATCAAGCAATCTTTATTTACTGGGTGTAAGCCACAAATATGTTTTAACAATTTAAATTTCTCCCAGGAAGCGTTACATTTATGAAAAATATTATTCTCTTTTTGTAGCTCTGAACAGTACAAGACGAAACTGTACGAGGTGCAGCAGTCCCGCTGCGGCTCTGGACGCCTGACCCCAGGGGGTACATCCATAGGGTCAGCTCAGGGGAATAGCAACCCTGAATCAGGACAGAGTAGCCCCCATACCAGGAGGAAAGCTGGAGGGGATAGTAGGATAGGCGGGGCAGGAGGACCAGAGACCAAGGATCTATCTCGCAAGATTGGCCAGTTGAAACGTAAGTAGCAGTCACTCTGGAGAGACATCTTCTATAGGGAGGCGTAAGGTTCTGAATGTTTTATATTCAAAGTTGATGGGGCAGTTGGGCTTTGCTGACAGCATTTTTACTCACAAGTTTTTACTTTTGAAGGTTTTTGGTAACCACATTCAATCATTTTTTCTATTTATTTTTAATTTGCTTTCAAATCTAAGGGTGTGTATTTCTCTAATAAAGATTAGCTCTTTACTTTTCTGTGACCTATATGCCACAAGGAAAAGGCCATATACAGTTCAGACTTTTTGTAGTTGTATTTTGTAGAGTTGCCCACTTTTGTTTATGATCTGATGAAGACTTATTGTACATTTATAAGCCTTGTTCAGATATAGCCTGCAGTGAATTTTGTTATGATGATGTATAGTGTCATATGCTATAACACCTTATAACACAGTGCTAAGTATGTATGCATAGGACCTTTGTTGCATGCAGTTGCCATTCATTTACACCTTTACAAAAAATGTCATTGAAGTAGGTAACATGTTCCGTTTTGCTTTATTTTACAATTTGATACCATGCACTGGTCTGTGTATATCTGTATATATAAACATCTATACATATCTATCAACCTTCAGGTCGTATCAGCCAGGGAGTGATGATGTTCAGCCAGCGAACCAAGACATCCAGTGTGGGCGGGGCTAATCAAGGTGCTTCCAAAGAGGAGGGGCCTTTCATCACCATAGATTCAGAGGATTATGATACACAAGGTAGGATACGGGCTTCCATTCAATATGTAGCGTGGTTGTGAATGTGGACAGGGTAACTGAGGGCAATAGGATAGGACTTGTCCAAGTTTTCTCCAAGGATGTAAGAACACCTATCATCTCCGTCATTGTTGGTCAAACAGTTTTTTGAGCGTCAAGTAATGCCTGGCTGGAATGCTCCCTAGGGGATGGAGATTGTGCACACATTGTGTGCGGGCAAGTATTGAATCCAATGACCGGGTAATAATATATCTGTAAAGCACTTAGAGACATCATAGATGTATTAAGTGCTATATAAAAGCGGAATAATAATAATACTGACAATGTTTGAGGTGGGATATCTATTCTAGGTTTAGAAAGTAAGTAAGTGGAGTCGGGGCAAGCAGACTATGATTCCTCCAAGGAGGGAGGCTATACTACTGTTGCCATAGATACTAAGGATAAAGATTCACAAAATATGATGTTTAGTTATCTCATATTTTAGCCACTTTGGTGCTTCTACGTGACTCAAAACAGCTGAAAGCCTTTCCACAAAAAATAGAGGGAAAACAAATTGAATGATAGCATTCCACATATAACATGCTGAGGACCAGCAATTTTTGCTAATTACTTTTAACCCTTGTTATTTCTAAAATGAATACATAATCTTAATGTTGATGAATGTCACAACACCGGAAGCTGATTGTGGATACACAATCTTGTTATCATCCATGTCTACCCCTGGGTAGAGAGAAGCATCGTGTAGTGAAATACATCATTGAAGCTTTACCATGCAGCTATCAAAGTCTGGGTTTCATACAACATGTCATATCTATAGCATTGATACAAGATTTGTCAGTGACTCTACTTTTTTTAAACAAACATTCTCATTGCAGATAGGTCAAACCCAGATGATAGGCTGGATGATCTGTCCCTACCACATATAGAATTACGTGAGTAACGTTAATGTACATCGTATATGTGTTGGATTCTGTTCTCTCTGTTCTCTCTGTCTCTCTGTGTCTCTCTCTTTATTTCTCTGTAACCCTCTGTCTCTCTTTCACTGTCTGTCTCTTTGTCAGCCCTGCCATGTTTAGAATTATGTGAGTAACCTTAATGAATATTATGTATTTGTTGGATTCTGTTCTCTCTGTCTCTATCTCTCTGTCACCATTTGTCTCTCTCTGTCTGTCAGCCCCTACCATGTATAGATTAATTTGAGTACTCTCAATGTATGTTAGATTTTACTGTCTCAGTCTCTCTGTCTCAATCTCTCTGTCGCCCTCTCTCTCTCTCTCTCTCTCTCTCTCTATTTCTGTCTGTATGTCTCTTTGTCTGTTTCTGTCTCTGTCTCTGTCTCTCTCCCTGCTTCTGCATCTGTATGTATGCCTATCTTACATGAAGTAGGAACTGAATGAGTACAATGTCATGTGAACAGGGTTGTGTTTGAAAAGCATTTAATTGTTATGTTGGCAATAAAGGTTAGTTTTCAAATTATTAATCTCATCAAAAAACGAAAACCTTACCTTTCTTATAATCTCTCCTTTGAAGTGCTTCTTTTGAAATGTGCATGAATCCATTTCAGTTACTGCCATTTGAATAAGAAAGCATTATTACAATGTACAGTGCGTCCCAGAAAAAACGAAACCAAGAATTATCAATGTTTTATCATAACTTAGTCACAATTAAAATTACTAAATGACACATATTTGGAAAGCTTAGATCCTCCTCTTTCATTTGATGTAACTCATATGATGCATTTTTCACGCATGAGTGATTAAAATGAATTTGAAGAGAGGAAACCAAAAAGTCATAATTGCGATTACCGTATTTGCCGGCGTATAGGCCGCAGTATTTTTGGAAGAGAAAATATCAAAAAGTCGGGGTGCGGCCTATGCGGCGAAAGAGTAAAAAAAGTTTTTATTTATTTATTTATTTATTTTTTTTTTTTTTTTTAGTTTCGATTTATGGCGCTATGCCTGGCAATGTCTCCCAGCTCAGTAATCAGTGTGTTGACTCACCACTCGGAAACTACAACAACACTAAACTTTGACTGTCATCTTGGTTTGAAAGTAATCTTTCTAATAGATCTCAATATGTAGTTTATAATAATAGTTCCTCAAATTTTTTTCTATAACAAATGGTGTACCACAAGGTACACCACTGGTACCATAGGTACTTTATTGTTTTTAATTCACATTAATGATCTTACACATTCTTCTAAAAACGACATTGTTACTATTATTTGTGACAAGTTTACAAGCACAAATCAGCGCCTTTAACTGCACCTCGATGTTAAATGAAGGTCCTTCCACGCATGGGTTTTCGGCAGCAAAACAACAACAAAACAAAACAAAAAAACATTTTTTTTAATTTTTTTTATTTTAAATGTCAAAATCGGGGGTGCGGCCTATGCGGGGGTGCAGCCTTTACGCCGGCAAATACGGTAAGTTATGATCAAATGTCGATAATTCTCGGTTTTGATTTTTCTGGGACGCACTGTATAGTGTCCCTTTATAAAACAGACAGTCTTTTCAAAAAGATTGCCACTATAGAGGTTACAATTTCTCCCGTTTGTGTTTCTTTCCACAGAGTTCTCAGATGAAACCAACACCCAGTTCTTCTGTGGTGTTTATTTCGCTGCTCAGTTCCAGGAGCTTCGTAAGGTCATATTCCCTGTTGGTGAGGACATCTTCATCCGATCTCTGTCTCGCTGTATGCAGTGGGTTGCTAGAGGGGGCAAGTCAGGGTCAAAGTTCATGAAGACGATGGGTAAGTCTGACCAATATATATACTGGGGTCAGAAGTTTCAACAAAATTGAAGAAGATTTTTTTTAACAGTATATGTGGTAGTCATGTAGGAAATCTTCTTCGGATCACTGTCTTGCTGTGTGCAGGAGGTCACTCCACCAATATAAATAAACATGAATTAAATCTGATATGACCAAACTATTAACCATATTTTGTTTAAATCAAAGATTCCATTTCATCTACATGCACATGTGCGTAAGTGAAATCCAGCTCTCTTCTAGGTCAACACAGCACAACTTATTTCACATGTAAAGTTTTTTTCATATGAAACAAAATTTTTGAAAGAATGCTCCTCACTGATTCCTTCCTCTTACCCGTACTGTAAGTCTGTAACTAAAACCGATTTTACTTTGTTGGTCTTGTGTTTTTCTTCAGATGATAGGTTGATTCTTAAGCAGATGTCCAAGTCTGAAGCCCACTCTTTCCTCAACTTTGCACCAAACTACTTCCAATACATGCAGAAGGCTCATGAGAATAATGTAAGTACTACCAGGTCTAATTTTGATTGATATAGATGGTAATTTCCAAACAATTCTTACTCATGGCAACTTTGCAGAGAATCACTACGTAAGTTGAAAGTTCACCTGACTTTCTAAGAAAATTCAATGGACTCAACATTCAGAAATGTCTTATTATTGTGGATATAATAATGATAATAATATTAATAATCTTTTTTTAAAAATCTGTTAATAATCTTTCTTTTAAAGTCCACTCCAAATTTTTATTAAGTTAAACCGAAAATGGAAATTCTTTTTGCCCAATTGATCGTGAGCCCGGCAGCCACTGAGCAGCGCCAGATCGACGTTGCTCTATCCCTTATTGTTGAACGCCAAACAAGGTAATAATAATATATAATTTTTATATAGCGCTTAATACAAATGTCTCTAAGCGCTTTACAAATATACTATTACCCCGGTCATTGAATTCAGTGCTTGCCCGCACACAATGTGTGCACAATCTCCACTCCCTGGGGAGCATTCAAGCCAGGCGTTACATGACGCTCAAAAAACTTTTTGACCAACAATGACGGTCGCATCCTACCGGTAGCAGTAACTCCCGTCTTTTAACGCCTTTTGGTATGACGCGGAAGGGGCTCGAACCCACGACCTTCCCAGTTGTGAAGCGGACGCTCTACTGATTGAGCCAACACACTGGTTACTTTACAGTTGTGTCTTAATTACTCTCGCTTAGTCAACTATTATATATATGAGTGTGTTCTGACTTTTTGGGGGTTTCTTCTTTACAGAAACCTACGGCCTTAGCAAAGATTCTTGGCTTCTACAAGGTGGGCTTCCAGAATCCTGTCACTAACACCGCCCAGAAATTGGACCTCCTTGTCCAAGAGAACCTGTTCTACAAACGCAGGATAGCCCAGGTCTTTGACTTGAAGGGATCTATTAGGAACAGACACGTCAAGACCTCAGGAGTCCAGACCCAAGACTTGGTACTCTTGGATGAGAACTTACTCAAACGTAAGAGACCCTCATGATAACTTCAATCCTATTTACATAATGACAAAGACTGTTTATACCTGGATTCACTTCTAAAGTCTGCTTTCTAGCCTAAGCTATACATTACTTTGAAGTGTTTTTTAAGTGTTCTGGAATTACATGAGTAAAAATAGGAAAGGATTTTAAAGGGAGGTAGGTGAATGAAGTAGAATGGTATGAAATAGAATAATATTTGAACAGTGAAGCGATGTGATTGGCATATTCTGGGTCTCAACTAGGACGCCTTGTGTGACCATCTTTCAACAGTTATATGTTGATCCTGATATAGTGATTTACTCACAATTAAATGTATTTACAAGAAATGAAACTCTTTGTGAGACAGTACCGGTAGTTTATCCTGCCTTGAAAATCAATGTGAAGACATAGGATTAAAATCCTGAGCTGGTGCATATATGTCTTTGGACAAGATGATCTGTCTTGAGAAAATCTCTTGAAACATGTGAATAAATACATGTAGATATCTAGCAAGATTTCTTGCAAGTACCTTTCCCATCTAAATGTAAACAAAATTGGAAAAAATTATCAGTTCTAAAACACTCTGCAGATTGATACTAACCTGGTTGGAAGAAAGTCCTTTGAACAGAATGGGCTAACTGTACTGCAGGTACCTTTTGATCATTGTTAATTCCATTTCCAAAGTGTATATTCAGTTACCATGCACTAATTCTCTGTAACCTACAAATTCTTTGAAATAGACAGATACTCAACATTGAAATTGATTACATTTATCCTCTTTGCTTTCAGACATCATTGACTCTCCCCTGTACATCAGGATGCACAGTAAGACTGCCTTAGCGATGGCGATCAAAGCAGACACAGAGTTCCTCTCCTCTCACCTCGTCATGGACTACTCCTTGCTCGTTGGTCTGGATGAAAACACCAAGGAACTTGTCATCGGCATCATTGGTATGTAAACTTTGGCCTGAATTCATGAAGGTGGTGTACACTTAAGACTATTATGTAGGTACTATGGGAGGCAGAATCCATCACTCCACCTGCGCCAGCCCCCGCTGTGAGAACTCTGAAATAAGTTTTAGGGTCAAGATGAAATAATCACTTTCAGAATTGTCAGTATTGCACTCCCTTTTTGATTAAGTAGATGATCCTTGATTATGTTGTTTGTTGAAAAAAAATCATAATACTTGTAATAAATTTCGCCAAGTGTAAAGAAAATGAAATATGTTGTAAAAAGAAGTGGTGAAGTGTAGGAAATGAGAAGAAATATTATTTCACCTTGTTTCTTTGCTTTAAGAATAATATGAGATTATCAGATAGAAAATTTGTTATTTCATATGTAATACATTCAACATACTGGAAAAGAGTATAGTATTTTCTCCCGAAATGTATTGTGAGATTGCCAATTACTCAGTACATTATGTGTTTTGTTAATTTCTCATGTCTATTAAAAGTATGCCACAGGCCGAATACCATATTGAAGAATATTTCTGCCCCTAACCTTTTAAAAATGCAAAGAATTGAAGATTGAAAGGTTTAAAGATATTTAACTTATTTGTATTTTTCTGTCATTCCAGATTTCATCAGGACCTTTACTTGGGACAAGAAACTGGAAACTTTTGTCAAATCTACATCAGGTATTGGCAGAATGAATATCATGATATACAAATCTGTGTTTTAGGCCCACTTATCTTTGTTTCATATGCAAAATGTGCCATTTCCCAGCTTAATTCTTAATTTCCCATATAAATTCAGTGTCAAAAGTTTGTACTAATGGTGATGGAATTTATTGATAATTTTGATGATCTTTAACATTGTTGTAGAGATTTTCTTTTAAGGCAAAATGCTTATTTTTATGTAAAATTAAATTTATGCAATGTTTTAACATATACCCTGCCAAAAAAATTGTAAAGCTTTGTTAGTTAAAAAGACATTACACTTTCCATCTGTGACCTACATTGTGTTGTCACTCAATATTATCCTTGATACTTAAAGTAATGCAGATGGGATTCTGGGTAGTGGTCAAAGAGATATTGCAAGACTACTTATTAGCTAGCAGACCCAGATGAATTTCTTCTTTTTTATGTGAGAATGTTTCAGTTCTTTTCAAATGGCAGTGGATAATTGTGATCATGATCAAATTTGTTGGTGTTTTGCTTGCACTGTGTGTTTTATGACTATTCTTGAAAATAATTTAATGTAGGATATATAGCAAAAACAAAAGTGATAGAAGAATAGAGAGATAGATAGATGGATAGATATTTTGAAAAAAATACATAGAACATAGAAAGGCTTCTCTGTATAATTACCTTGTTGTTTAGAGTGGATCTATGTGTACCCAATAATCAAACATTCACACAATCATGTACCATCTTGATTACATTGCAGGAAAGATGCCAACCGTTGTATCACCAGAGCTCTACCGCAGTCGCTTCCTAGAAGCCATGGACAAGTATTTTCTCTTGGTTCCAGATCGTTGGACTGGTCTAGGTCAAGATGCACACAGTACCAGCTAAAATGATGACAGATCTTAGCTTAGTTCACCAGAGCTGTACCGTAGTCTCTTCTTGAAAGCTTTGGACAAGTACCTTCTCTTAGTTCCAGATAGTTGGACCTATCTAGGTCAAGATGCACACAGTAACAGCTGAAATGATGATAGATCTTAGCTTACGGAAGTTCACCAGAGCTCTAGCGTAGTCTCTCCTTTAGAGCTTTGGACAAGTACCTTCTCTTGGTTCCAGATCGTTGGACTGGTCTTGGTCAAAATACTCACAGTAACAGCTAAAATGATGACAGATCTTAGCTTAGTTCACCAGAGCTGTACCGTAGTCTCTTCTTGAAAGCTTTGGACAAGTACCTTCTCTTAGTTCCAGATAGTTGGACCTATCTAGGCCAAGATGCACATAGTAACAGCTGAAATAATGACAGATATTAGCATAGTTCACCAGAGCTGTACCCTAGTCTCTTCTTGAAAGCTTGGACAAGTACCTTCTCTTAGTTCCAAATAGTTGGACCAGTCTAGGCCAAGATGCACACAGTAACAACTGACAGATCTTAACTTAGTTCACCAGAGCTCTAGCGTAGTCTCTTCTTGAAAGCTTTGGACAAGTACCTTCTCTTAGTTCCAGATAGTTGGACCTATCTAGGCCAAGATGCACATAGTAACAGCTGAAATAATGACAGATATTAGCATAGTTCACCAGAGCTGTACCCTAGTCTCTTCTTGAAAGCTTGGACAAGTACCTTCTCTTAGTTCCAAATAGTTGGACCAGTCTAGGCCAAGATGCACACAGTAACAACTGACAGATCTTAACTTAGTTCACCAGAGCTCTAGCGTAGTCTCTTCTTCAAAGCTTTGGACAAGTACCTTCTCTTAGTTCCAAATAGTTGGACCAGTCTAGGCCAAGATGCACACAGTAACAGCTGAAATGATGAAAGATCTTTGCTTAGTTCACCAGAGCTCTAGCGTAGTCTCTTTCTAGAAGCCATAGACAACTTTTTTGTCTTACAATGTAGTTCCAGATTGTTTGACCACTCTAGGTCAAGATGCACACAGTAACAGCTGAAATGATGACAGATTTTAGCGACTACAAACATGTACTCTTGAAATATTTAGTGTTTAGATATATTTAATGTTTGTTGTGGACCATGTATTCTCACCCTGATTGTACCTCAACCAATCCTCCTCAGCTATTGACAAGTGGTTCATACTGGTTCCACATTGCGTGGATGTTCTGGTTCCAAGCCGACTATACCTTAGTAACAGCGGACGCACCTGCATGTGGGTCCTGTTTCATTAAATTAACCCATTGACTCCTGGAACCGGTTGGCTCTTGTAATAAGCCTATGGAAATTGAACAATCCAGTAGTCAACAGCTAAATTGTCAGTGTACAACATATCTACTCACAGCCAATCAAATAGAAGGAGTTGTGTAGCTTATGCCACTTATTGCAATCTTTCATGCTAAGAACTTTATGAAACCGGGTCATAATCGATTCATGTGCATTGTAGATGCTAGGACAGTGCTTGATCTAAGGTTGGTGTAGCATCCAGACTAACTGATTGATTGATTTGAATTTATTCCATTTCATATCAATTGTTTGCAGAATAAAGAACATAGTTGACAAAGGAAATTCAAAATTATGAAATGAAACAGGAACCCAATTGAAATCATAGCTTGTTTTTTGTAGGTTCCCAAGAATAAATATAATATGAACGTTATTTGCATACTGATTAACAGTATGCAGGTATCATAGTCAATTGTTTAATGAATTGATTGTGAATGCAAAGGTTGTGGAATCAATCCCCCTAACACAGTAATTACATGTATGACCCCCGAGCAAGAGATTTTATATACTGGTACATTGCTCCTCTTCATCCACCCAGTAGGCTGCGAAAAGTGAACATCAATTTCCATGTGATTGGATTAGCATGTTTGTGCTTGTGAAAAGGCAACCGTCTGGATTGCTCCTCGAGTGGAATAAAGTTCAGAAACATAATTGTGGAGGGCCAGCAGTGTCAAGTCTGACAGACATATACAAGAACCCACTATTTTCTAAATCCACTGACTGGGGTAATCGTTATGTAAGGGCTTTGGTTAGGTTGTGTCGTAACTGGTCAAGAGAAACTACGCTTGTAAAGAGGCTGCCCTCCTGCAAAAGTATTCTTACACAAATACATGCAGCTAAAATTGTGCAGCTTCATAATAATAATAATTATAAAAATGTTACTTATAAAGCGCTTACCACCAAAGTCTATAAGCGATAACGTAAATATATCAAAGAGTGCAGAAATTTGTATGAATTTATGATAATTGCTGTTTGATTGGATAAGAGACATGAGCACTATACAAGAATCCACTGACTGGGGTTTATCATTATGTAAGCGCTTTGGTCGGTTATGTCATAACTAGTCAAGAGAAATTATGCTTGTACAGAGGTTGCCCTCCTGCAAAAGTATTCTTACAAACATACATGCAGCTAGAATTGTGCAGCTTCATAATGTAAATATATCAAAAAGTGCAGAAGTTTGTATGAATTAATGATCATTGTTGTTTGATTGGATGGAGTATATATTAAATGTGAAGTTGATGAAGTCAAAGGTCAAAATTGGCATATTTGTATAGAACACCATGCTGAATGTGATATATTGTCAAATGTAATATTGCCACTTGCTTTTGCCACATTTCAGCCGTTTTGTCCCTTCCGTTCTGCTTTATTCTTTTATCTCATTCTATTTACAGTACTCCTCTATTTTTGCCTTTATTTTATCCTTCTTTGTCACAAAATTGTTTTACAATTTACCACTGTGCATGGGATGGTTTTGAATTGAGTTTTTTTCTCTTTGATTTTTGATACACAAAAAGTAAAGTAGTCACCTTATGTCAATCTGCTTGTTTGTGTATCTCCCACATTCATTTTATTTTCCTATTAAAAGGGATATTTGTGTTTTTACATTACCTTACTCTCCAATGATTTGTATATTGTAAAATGTATCCCAAAGAAAAATATTTCATAATTTGTATTAATACTTAATAGAAGTTATGTACTAGTATATATTGTGCAATATTGTAAATTTATGGTTAAAAAAATCAGAAACTTATTTGCTTTATAAATCAGATGTATTTTCTTCCTTGAGTTTACTTAATCATTTGTTTCATCTATTTTGAATATTGACTGACACAGCACTGAAACTTCAAGAACAATAATATTCATGAGGAATTCATGAAATAATATTGATTCAAAGGAATTGAAATATTTTTCTTTTGTGGAAATACATGTAAGGTTATAAAAATGTTTGAACACAACATCTACTTTCCATGTTATTACATTATTTCATTATCATTTGATAATAATAATAATAATAATATGTCTTGTTTACCCAGGGTAGCCTCATCAGTATTCATACTGTTCTCCCTGAGGGCCCTGCAATGATATGATATGATATGAAATGATATGTAGGTTTATGCATGTAACTTGCATATTTGTTATGGTACTGATCAACTACCAAAGCTTAAAGGTAATACAAAGTTTTGGTAATATTTCAACAGGATTGGATTATGAAATTTTAAATTTGCAAAACTATTATGAAACCTAGTGTTAGAATAAGCATTTTTGACAAAATTGGGCTCTATAATGCTAAGGATTTCGAGAAATTAAAATATCAAATTTATTGGTGCTCCTGATAAATTTCAAATAGGGGTTACGGCCATACAATGATAGCTGCAACCATGAAAATCTTGGAATATGCAGTTCTGATATATAATTTCCCAACAGGAATAGAAAATCAGTTGATTTTGAAACTAAAGTAATATCAATCTCGAGAGGGAGCAACAACCATCATTAGATATTGTAGGATCGCATATGCTTCCAACATGTTCATTTGAACCAAATTCATAACCCCATACTAAAACTTTGTATTACCTTTGAGTATATTTTTTTTCTTTTGAGATATGTGCAGTTTCTTGCCGTTTGAGCCGAGGGGAAGGGCCCCTGAAGGCCTCCAATTCCGTTATTACCCCTATTAAGTAAGCCAGTAATACAGTGTGGTTAAAACCCATTGTAGTTGCATGTAAAGATAAAAATAGTAATAAATTAAACCAACTCACTTGTCAAAAGTTACTAACGCAATATTCATGTAATGAAAATAAGGAAGCCGTTGCTGTTTTATTCCAATTGATTCTGTGTAAAATTGCAAGTAACATTGCACTTAAGATTAAAAAATCAAGCCAACTTAACTAGGTTAAAAGTAATGAAGAAGAGAGTATGAAGATATAGAAGAATTTTGCTATTAGAAAATCAGTGCTTGTAAGATTGCATAGATGGAAGAGTAACAGAAACTAAGTAAGAAGATCAAGAAAAAATTTCTACTTGAAAAAATTAAACGCACGTGATATTGGGATAAAGGAGGAAAGAGACGAAAATATTCAAATATTGTTGTTTCAATTCATTGCAAAGTAGTGTTTTGTGTATCAATATTGTCACATTGCAGTAATGTCGGCATAGAGTATATGTGTAGCCTTTTATGTATCAATAGAGTAATGATGTAAGCTCATTTATGATTCGTGGATGTACCGTAATGAAAAATGCAAAATACCAAAGGCATTGCAGATAAAAAGATGTACGAGAAATATGTCAGCATTATTTTTGTAATAAAATCGTACAAGAGAAGCATAGTCTTACTGTTTACTTTTCATGTTTTTCACTCCTTGACAATTCCACATAAATTATGCCATAAAGGAAATCTCTTCTTCCCCTTATATATATATATATATATATATATATATATATATATATATATATATATTTGCTAATCTGTTCAACTTTTCCTTGGCAAATGTTTAATAGCACAGATTACTATGACCTCCTTCTGCATGGTCAGCTAAACGGCACACTTAAAAGTATCAATTACGACAATTTTTAAATTATCATGTAATGTATCTTACATTGAAGGTTCATACATTAAAACAATAGTGGCGATGAAATATTATTTGGCATATTTTTCTGTTTCAGCTTTAGGCAACAACATCAAGACAAACAAAAGAAATGAAAAAAAGTCATTCCACTGAATTTCTCTTTTTATTTCTAGTTCTAGGAAGATTTTGTATTAATTGTCCTTTTTTTCTTTTCTTTATGTGATTAATTGTCCTTCTTGACAGAGACAGTGGGTGTATATTCGTCTAGGAATCTCTCAATATCTTTTAAGCAATCTCAAAACTTAAAGATTCTGTTAATAACATAATTTTCATCGTACGAAGCCCTGTATTGCCCGTTAAAGAAAAAACAGTTCCACAAACTACCTAACAAAACTTCTTTATCTTGGTTTGCAAAAACATTGACGTTTCATATATCATATAATATCAACTTTTGTAAACTTTTGGGGTGAATTTTCTAATGCTGAATTGCCGTGGTATCGCATTCTGGCTAAACAAAATTGGAAAGATTGGTTTTGTAACAATTCCAAATTCCAAAGACGTTTACACGGTCATTCATATTTAGATTTTCATAATTGAGAAATTGAATAGAACCCTAATTATTATTTGATTCGAAAAGAAAGTGTCACTGAGCACAATCAGCTTGTCTTTTTGTTCAAGAAGCTGGCATTCACAAAAACAAAATATTGCATAGTGGTATTATCATGAAGTATTTTGCATTAATTTATATATATTGTTTAAGTAGGATAATTGATTCCCAAAACAAAATTCATGTATTATCATGCATATGTGCATGCGGCAAAATGAGCAGTAAGTGCGCACCTAATAGAAATCCCAATTCTAACGCCACGCCCCTAAACTGTCCTCGTTCTTTACAGCAATTGACGGATTCCTTTTGTTATAATCATTTTTGTCAAGGCAAATTATTACAATAATTGCTAAGACCCTGTTTCACGACGTGCTCGGTGGGGGGGGGGGGGCGGTACTCGTTTATTTAGACATACGGGGGTGTGCCGCTCTAATGGGTCACTTTTTCACCCCAAAAATTCCTTTACATGGTCCCATTTTTAACAAAAATATCCCCAAACATGGGTCCGTTTTTTCAAATTTCCAAACTTATTATTTATTTCTAGAAAAAATCCACCATAAAGGTAGGCTTGCTGGAAAAAAATAATAAGAGTACCTATATATGCCTACTAGTGTAGCCTGCATACCATGGGCTACATGGCATCTCCTGAAGAATAATAACATTGGATATAATAATTAATTTGAGTTATATAGAACGCATTTCTAAGCCTAAGGAACATTATGCTTGTATGTTATTATCCCGGGGTTATTATATTCTCGATTTCTTAAAAGCAATGTGCATGCGCAGAAACGAACATTTGAAACCATATTGTATAATTCTTTTAAACATATTTAGTAGAGGGGGTGCATCCGGGGGGTGCATGCGGGATATATAGGAAGCCGAAGACAAAGTGAGGGAGGGGTCATGATCGAGCGCATGCAACTATCCGGAACTACTTCATATTGATATGCAAATCCCGACTGGAGTATTGTTACTTCGCTCTCTACGGGCTGACCTTAATTTGACCGAATCGCGACGCCCACTCACCGCAAAACATCACGTAGCCGTAACTAGGCTATTTTGCAGACCCTATAGTGTAAAATAGTTTGATAATATTATAATTCCTGGTCTAATATATACACATATCCCACTAAGTGAGGCTTTATTGGACTCAAAATAATAAAAAGTATAAATAATTTTAATCGAGAATGATTCTTTGATGAAAAGAATAAATAATTAACATATTTAGTTCCATTCCGCTAGATTAAGGTAGAGTAATGGAGACTAACCCTGAGGACTCCTTCCTCTATTGAAAGGAGCTTCTCGCCAGGGGTTGGCTTTCTCCGTTGTTTTTACCTGCAGCCACGCCTATTGTTTTTGCCCTGTCAATGGATCATCCACACCCCTCTGCGACCTGGGACGCTGGTAGGACGAAGGGGGAGATGGAGGGGTTGGAAGGGGTGGAGTAATTGACCGCTGGCATGGGCGTGGGCATGTTAATTTGGTTGCGGATTAGAAATATAGTGACCACTCCTCGCGTACATGGTAGGCCTATCCAATGATCACTAAATTTGCACGCTCCAAACTTTGACCCACTTCCAAGGCGATGGGGCTAATCCCAAATAGATAATATCAGATTGTTTACATTCGATCGAGTTTTATACATCATCTTAGATGTTATCGAATACTTCATTCTAAGAGATAGAGAGAGAGAGAGAGAGAGAGGGGGGGGGGGGGTGGAGGGCACTGGTAGTTAAATAATCGTCAGAAAATAATTGTCATGTTCAGCAAGAATACAGCATTTGTTCTTGAAAACAAAGCCATAAATCAGAGATTATCACCATAACAGCACTAGAAAGAAATCAAATTTCAATTTAGTTTCATTTGTCAACACGATGATTCTTTATACGACGTTTTGTTATAGAGTTTCGGGATAAAATATTGTGTGTTTGGACACGTTTTAGTTGTGTTATCTAAAACTTACCTAAATAAACATTACATATTAAATAGGAGGTCGAAGTTTAAAATCTATTATGGTACCTTCACCCTCATTACTTTTTTCTTTATTGAAGGATTAATCGTTTTGATTTCTATGCTACTTTTCGTCTTCCCTTTTCCACCTTTTGTGGTTGTTGGCCTTGTCCTTGTTTTCTAGTTTGTTTTTGTTTTGTTTTTTTCATGATTCCTTTTTTCTTCTTCCTTTGTATATATTTCCTTATATTTCATACTTCTTTAACTCAATAAAACTTTAGGGGAGATTATAGTTTGACATGCACGCATTGCGACTGAATAGAAAGTGTTCAGACAATGGAAAACAATTTATATTAGGTTAAAACAACTAAATTTTGTGATTATTTCTCTTAAATTGACTGGAAAGGTAGTCATTATATATAATTTCCCTGATAGAAATTGATAAGCTCCCCCGGCCCCTTACCCCCTATCCCTTGCCGTTGCCCCCTTATTCAGTGGAATTTCCAAAATTAAAATAGTAGGCACACCTTTTACAAGACAGTAATGTAACCAGCTTTCATACAATGGATTGGCCTCTCACAAAATCATGATCATAAATTACAGAGAGAAGAACATGGTTTCTCATGATATCCTGCGAGTCCTAGCTGTGACGTTGTTCCGTTTATGACGTTGTTAGAAACTGCTTCCCACTATCACGCTTCCGGATTCATGAATCTTTTATTTGTAATATCCATGTAACATCAGTCATGTAACATAAGTATATATAGTAACTATACATGGAAATTGTGTTCTGTATTCATTTCAGATATTAGAATAAGTAGCTGTGATATTTGACGGGGGGGGGGGGGGGCATGGGCAGGTCGAATTATCTTTTTCATCTTATGACCCACCCCTTGTGATTGAGAATGCATGAGATATCCATTTTACGCAAATGTACATACTCTGACAATACATTTGTCTTAGTCCCGATCGAATGTGAGACAATAGGTGAATTTGAGGACAATTCGTTTTATTTTGAATCCAATATGAACATCTAAAGTAACCTTTCAAAAAGAACTGCCAGATTTTGTTAATTTTCACTTTTTACAGGATGGCGGATGAATATTGGGTGTTTCTGTAATTCATGCGAGCCGACCATTGTGTATGCATGCAGCTAGGCTAGCGCAGCTGCTGAGCTTGTCGCTGACGATTTACGCCGCCTCGCCGCGCGGCCTAGCCCCATGTGTATATTATGCGTAATGTGTGTGTGTGTACGTGTGTGTGTGTAGTGTGTATGTACTGTGTTAATGTATAACGTATATTATGATTGTGTGTGATCCTGAAGAGCCAAAAACACTGTGCCAGGAAGTTACAAAGGGTTGAAATTTCGCCTAAAATGGCAAAAAAATCAACAAAAAAAGGACAATCAAACTATATACAACCTTCAAGTATGTCTCAGGTGAGTTAGATACTTGATTTTGTTTACGTTTGAGGTTGATTGTGTGATGTAGCATGAGATGATGTAGGCAGTGGCCTGTCAAATCGCCGTTCATAAAGTAATGCTAACCCACACCCACTTTGTTCTTTATACCCGCCCATATTTCTATACAGGAGACTCAGCCTTCCCCTCTTGCTCTCCTAGCTGCAACATGCAGTAAGATCGGTACACCTGCAGAAGGACAAGCCGGTGCAGTCAATCAGGGACAAACTGTGACTGTTTTGGGACAAAATCAGGGGCAAGCAGTTCAGATTCCGGGGGTTTCATCAACGCCGCGAATGCTCAGCAAATACAACAAGCACTTGGCCTTCCCCCTGGATTTCCATTGCAATTCACTACAGCCAGTGCTGGAGTAGCGGGGCAGCAAGGAACTGCAGCTGGTGGCCCGATGTACATTGAAGTTGGCCCTGGGGGAAATATTCCATCTTCGTCAGTGGGCGGAGCTACTCCAACGAAGTCGATTAATGCTGCTAATATTTTAAGTTTGAACCAACAGGGTGCAACAGGTGGACAGCAGATTGTTACAAATGGGAATGTGCAGTACAATATTACTCCACAATATCAAATTGATTCAGAGGGAAATTTGATCACCACTCATGTTGCTACCCCTGTCAGTGTAAGTCAAGCCCAAGCTCAAACTACCCAAACAGTTGTCAGGCAAGCACCCACTACAACATCCCAAGCAACAAACGTGGCTGGAAGCAATGTTACACAAATTGCTTTGCCTGGTGCCGGGGTACAGTATATTCAGAATGGACAGATCATTCAAGCGGTTGCACCACAACCAGCACCAACTCAGCAACGCATTATGCTCGGCTCTCAAACCATCACCCTACAACTTGCTCCGAATGCAGTCATGTCCAATGCAAATTCACATGATCAACCTGTCGTTACACCAGTCTACAACATCATCAGCTCCACCCCGCCACAGGGCAACCAGGACAATTCTGCCCAAACTCAGCAGCTTCAGATCCAAGATCAACTTCAGAATGCACAAATTATCTCAAATAGTGGCCAAATTCAAGCAGGGAATGCAGCCAACAGTAACCAGGCAACATTTGTGCAAGTTGCCGGTAAACCAGGACAAATTATCTTGCAACAACCACAACAAGCAGGACAGGTGCAACAAATACAAGTTAGCGGGCTCCAGACATCTAATACAAATGTTCAGACGACGCAGATCAGACAACAAAGTGGCAAGGTTGTGGCATCTGTTATCCCACAGCAGGTACAACAAGTGCAACAAGTGCAGCAAGTACAGCAGCAGCAGACAACAACATCACAGATTATTTCACAGCAGTCATCACAGACAGTTCAACAGCAGCCACAGGCACAGGTCATACAGATCCATCAACCCATCCAGGGGCAAGCGGGCACTCAAATCTCATTACAGCAACAACCAGGTACTGGCTACTACACAATACAGCAGCCCACGCCCCAGCCCCAGCAACAGGCCCAGACCATCACACTACCGGTAAATGTTGCCGGGAGCCAGGGCTCGGTCCAAACTATCACCTTACCCATTCAGGGCAACCAGCTACAAGGTGGTAGCATCACAATCCCTCAAAGTGTCTTGCAGAGCATACAACAGATCAATGGCGGACAATTTATGCAGAATCCTATTGTACTGAAGACGCCACAAACACAAGTGCAGACCGTCCACCTGCAACATGGTGGTACACCGGTTGCCACGCCGCAGTCCTCAAGTAGTCAGGTGCAACAACAGGTCATCACAACAGACGTCAGTCCTGCCATATCAACAGCTAATAACAGTACCATTGCAGGCCTTCCTAATTACAACGTCCATCTGGCACCGCTTAGCCCTGGCCCAGGACCAGCTGGCAACACTTCAGCTGTGAACATCAATACATCAACAGCAGGTATGTTCAACAGTCATTTGTCAAATATTCCTAGTACAAGAAGGAAAACCAAATTGATATAAGGTGTAAGTGATGCCTTATTCATGAAGTTGCACTATTTAACTTATTTTGGAGTTTAATAAAAAGACAGTGAGGGAGAGAGAAGAGAAAAGGGGGAAATGTGTAAAGTGCAGTGAACTAACAAAACAACAACAACAACAACAAAACATCCTAAATTGAAGACAAAGGCCGTTATCTATTATGAGTTTACAGAGTTAATGCCCTCGTGGCTCAAAACAATAAATATTTTCCAAAATTTTAAAAGGGGGCTAAATTCTTATTTTTGAGAGATATGATAACTTTCCTTTTTTCTTTCTCTTTTTTGCCAAAGGGATCACATGAATATTATCAAAGTGGTGAACATTACAATACAATATTGATAATAATAATGATTATTGATCATAATGATACAAATTACAACAATAATTATGATATTGTTGTTCTTAATAATTATGAATTTGAACATGTCCATATCTTTGAATTTATCTTTAATAAACTTAATGGCTAATTCAACAGTCAAATAAAATTTGACCTAAATTAAATTGTGAAGATCAACGCGTAAGAGTCGAAAGGGAATGGTAAATTAATGTGGGTACATTGTATTTTTATTAAAGTGTTGACTAATCCATGTGCCCTTTCTTTATAAAACATAAAACTGTAGGCTTGTTTCCCACAATTCTAAAATGCCCATTTTTTAGAGCTCAAACGCATGTTTAACATTATAATAAAAAAATTACTCCTACATGTACATAGTATGCTTATAATTAGAATGAATATACAGCATGTACTGTGTGTGTCACAAGTATACTTTACATCTTGGGGCAATATGAGGAAATAAGAGATCAGTTGATAATGGGATTAAATGTATTGAATTTGATATATGAGCGATGATCTGTGGGGAAATTGATATGGCCAAAAGTTGGGTTTGTTTCTGTTCTTGAATTCTCACTATTGTGCAATGAATGGTTCAACTGGAGAGAAAAAAGAGACACAATACCTATCCTGATAATTTGCATATATTGTATATGACTGTAATAAAATGATATATACATTTACAATGTATAATTGTTCTCACAGAATCTCAGCAATAAAACACTTCAGTCAAGTACACATGTACTTCATTCCCTTTCCTGTAAAAGTGCAGGTATTCTATCTACTAGTATTAAACCTTGGCTTTGGTATCATGCCAACTGTGTATATACACGAAAACAAAAAATCTACAAATACATTTGTACTTGTACTTGTATAGAATTATTTTTTTATAGGGGGGGGGGGGTTGGTGGAGTTGTATGTTTTATTGAATCTAAAACAGAATCTCAATATTTACACATAAGTGGAGAGTCATTAAAATCAAGAGTAAAATAAGACAAATGATTATCAGAACATCAATTAAGAAAAACAGCAATATGCTGTGCATGTCACAATCTCATGTTTTACACCATTTTGTATACCAGTAGAAAATGAAAAAAATACATATGGTAGTGATGTTGTCCATTATTTTAATGTATACAGTATATGATATGTTTGTGTCTTGTCTGTTTGTTGTTTATATGTATATAATGAAGTTTATATAGTTTCTTCTTATCAAAGGGCCATTCACAAATGATTTGTACATACATGTAAGGGCTGTACTGAATTAGATTTTCAATTTTCATCATTTCATACTTAAGTAGGCAGTAGAATTTATTTATATATTTTCCATTATCTTGCCTTTCTCATATATTAAGAATCCTCTTCCTTGTTTTTCCTTCTTTTACTTTTTGATGAAAATAAGCAAATGATGGATACTGGATAGTATTAGTAATTACGGGCTTGGGAATGATAATTTAGCTACTTATTTAGAGATATTAATTTTGTTTTAATACAAGCTACTTTGAATGTTAAAAAAAATCCCTATATTCTGCCCCCCCCCCCCCTCTCTCTCTCTTCACCTCCTCATACCCCAGCCACCCAGCAACAAATTACCCAACAACAGCAGCAACAAATCAGCCAGGCGTTAGTAGGCATGAAGGCAGAGAAGCAACAACAAGCACCGTGGCAGGGAGTGATCCAGACAGAAGCAACCGGCGGCGCCCAAGGCGGCACGGTCACCACGATATCAACTAACGGTACCAACTATCCACCAACCATGGCTAGTTATGAGCTTCAGATTGATCAGAGCCAGATAAAGCAAGAACCTCCCAAGAAAGTCAGAAGATTGGCATGTACCTGCCCCAACTGCAAAGATGGTGATGGCAGGTAAGCTTAAAGGCATCGTTTAACAATGTTAAATCTGAGATGCACAGCCCTGTGTCTTATCAGTGTCTGTGATATGGCGAAATATTGAAGCCTTAAAAAACTTGTGCTTCAAAATGATCATGAAGTGCCTCAAAAAATTACAAATCTTTGAGTGACCTGTTTTACCATACTCATTTTCCCCCCAATTGACTGTAGTGTTATAAAAACAGTTAGGAAAACAAAAAATAAAATGTTGATTTTCAATCATAAATTTCTTAATTATCAGACAGGCGATATGCTTGTTAAAGTCATGGGATCCCGGTTTGACCTAAAGGTTTATAATTATGATTGTAGCATGAGGTAAATCTGGGATTTTGTTTCAGAATCTGAGGCAATGTTACTGAGTCGCTTTAAAGGGAAATCCAACCCAAGTAGACGACTACTTTAAAAGAAAGCAGACAAATCAGAAAAGCAAACTGATGAAAGTTTCAACACTTCAATTTGGCTGAAATGGTAATGTCAATGTGATGTAGTGCCGCACTACTTTCCCATCTGTTCCAACATAAAAAATGACTAAAATTTAAATTTTTCAATAATTCATGGCTCAGGAGGGTCTATTTCTTTAGAGGACGCATAATAATATGCTATCTATAATATATCTTTACGAGAAAAACAGAAATTAATGATAGTTTTGTACACAGCAAATGAGAGGGTTATCCACATCCTACGTCACAATCCACTTTATTTATTTCAGCTATTTTTAATCGGACAAAATTGCAAAACCCTTAAAGATTTTTAACTGTTTTTAGCAGACAGTAAGTAAATCTGTTTAGATAATGAAATTAATATTAGTCAGAGCAAATTTCTTTAATAGGCTTATCAAAATTTCAAGTTTCTCCCCTACTACATCCAAGGATGCCAGTTTTCAGGCCCTGGCGAGTTATTTTCAGACCATAGTTTAGGCTTTTTTGTGTACAAAATAGCTCATTCTAGGTGATTTTCAGGCCCTCTGATCAATTCCAACTGACACCCCTGTACGTCTTCCCTCATTTATTTGTATGCCTTTTTTTTGTAGGAACTCTGAGAAGGGTAAGAAGCAGCACATCTGTCACATTGCTGATTGCGGTAAGATCTACGGCAAGACGTCTCACCTGAGGGCGCACTTGAGATGGCATACTGGTGAGAGACCGTTCGTCTGTGATTGGCTCTTCTGTGGAAAGCGTTTCACACGATCGGATGAGCTCCAGAGACATAGACGCACACATACAGGTATACCTACACAGATTATCATTCAAGCTAACTCTAGTGAAAGAAGTAAATGGATAAGAAATCCTGTTTTAAGCCTTGTTTACAAAGGAAGTGGTCAATTATCTTTAAAAAAGGAAATATACAATTACATGTAGAGCAAAATTAATTAAATAAACAACTATGGCAAAATTGATTAAATAAACAACTATGGCAAAATTAATTACTGTACATATAAGCCTCATGCAGTCTTTCGCTTCACGTTTCTGTATCTTATTACAGTCACATACATGAAAGTAAGTACATAGCGGTGCAAAGACCCAAGTTGTATTTTGCCATAACAATTTTGGTATCTTTGTTTTTTTAAATAATAAGAAGAGCAATAATCTTCAATATCACTTGTTTATCAGTACTCATTTTGACATTATCATTTGTTGTGATTTTGTTTTCCCTTGTCTTTAATAGGGGGTAAGGAATTTTTGTGCAATACAATAGTCTTCAATATTATTTGTGTATCAATACTAATTTTGTCATCTCTCATTTCCTTTTTCTTCGTCCCAGGGGAAAAGAAATTTGTGTGCAAAAGCTGTGGGAAGAAGTTCATGCGAAGTGATCACCTGGCTAAACATCAACGCACCCACATCAGGAAACCAGGGACAGTGAGCATGAAGGGGCAGTCCGGGGGTGGTGACGCCCCTCTGCAGGTGGACCTGTCTCAGGGAGTGGATGAGTTTGATGAGGAGATGGAGAAGGTAATGAGAGACCCTCAACATGAGGCCATGGTTCAAGATGCAGTGCAAGAGGCTGTGTATTGACAGTGAAGGAAAGGCAGGGACAGTGAGCATGAAGGGGCAGTCTGGGGGTGGCGACACCCCTCTGCAGGTGGACCTATCTCAGGGAGTTGATGAGTTTGATGAGGAGATGGAGGAGGTGATGAGAGACCCTCAGCATAAGGGCATGGTTCAAGATGCTGTGCAAGAGGCTGTGTATGTACAGTGAAGGAACGACAAAGATTTGAAGTATTACAGTTAAACCTCTCTATAAAGGCCAGCGAAGGGAAACTGACAAAATGGCCTCTGCCAAAAAGTTGGAGGCAATTATACAGCACCTATTTTTTCCTTGAGGAAGACAATGTAGCCAAATGCTATGGGTGGTGGCATTTTTATAGAACTTAGAAGTTGCCATTTAAATTGGTGTAATAGAAAGAGAGAGCTTTGTGAAGATATAGGATAAATCTGCATACTAAATAACATTTTAAGTTTTATAGTATTGGTAATAATTGCCTACAATGCGTCTCTATTCAAGGAGTTTTTTTTTCTTCTTTTTTTCTCATTTTGATTGGGGTAAGAATATAGAGTTTTTACCACCTTACCCTTCAAATCAATATTTATATTAATCATAACTTGCTTGACGACGCCTTAACATTTTGATGCTGTGAAATAACTTGATTGATGATGCAGAAGCATACTAGTGCTTTATGGACAGTCCATCAACTCCACATTCACGTGGTTTTATTGGTCAACAGAAAGCAAAGGTTTGAATGAAAGGGTAAAAGTTATAACGAGTTCTGGTAATGGTGAAAATCAATTTTCCCAGATCCCAATGAAACTTATACAGTGAACTTGCTTTAATGACCACCTGTATAAAAAAGACTCCTTGAAAATGGTTTCTCAATGAAACGCTTACTAAAAGAACCTGTACATAGAGACTACCTGCCTTTAAAGACCACTTTTCTGGTCTCCCTTGAGTGGTCTTTATATACAGGTTCATTGTATATGAAATTCTAGACTGCAAATTCTAGACTAAATTGGGTAGAAATAGTTGAGGAATAAGCACAGAAGAATAAGGAAGGAAAGCTAGTGTTCCAAACCTTCCTACATGTACATGAAAAGCAGTCTAATGTGTACAATTCATTTAGTTACGTTTTGAGGGAATGTGATTTTCCAACACATTTTCATTTGTCTGTTTATATTTTGTTGGTCTAAGCAAACAATCAGACTAGAATTACTTCAAGCCAATTTTCTTGAAATGCAAGGTTTATCTCTAGTGAAATATTTGACAACTGTGGAAATGTTTGATTCAGACATATACATTGCCTAGGGGAAAGAGCATTTGAATTGTTTGGTTAAAGAAAGGAGCTCCTCGTACTAGGTCGCTAGCAAAACAAAATACACAATGTACCGTTGGTACCCCCAGAGGGCCCAGAATACATGTAATATTGTACTTCATCGTTGTTGTCTCATGATCGTTCTGTTGACTTTAGCTGTATGAGGTAGTATCATTTTGAAATCTGTTTATTCCTGATACAATTTTAATGCCTTAAGTTTATACGTGAAAATGTTAACCACAATTCAATGTTTGTACAAATTTCCCATCTGAAGCTTATTACTTTCTGGGGCTGTTGGAGCCTTCCTCTTTGGTCATATTTTACTCAATTATTTACCTTATTCATTATAATTTGGTCACTGGCTCACTGCATGCATCTTTCTTTTCATTTATTTTTAGTGGACACACACAACATTTATTTGTACAGGACTGGTCATTGACATTAAAATTTATCTTTTTTCTTGATTTTTTTTATCTTTATCAATCTACTGGCGAACATTGTATTTGCGATATGGTTAATTCTTATTCATCTATTGAACTGGACAAGTAAACAAGCTTTTGTTTGCTTATTTTTTGGCTACCATAATTTTACCATAAGATTTATTGTGAACATATGAAAGGGGATAATTTTAGTACATGATGCTTTAAACTTGCTTATTATCAAATATTTGACATGTTTTTGATATTTTGTTGTAAAGTTATTAGGTCCTCTTTCAATTGTGACAGTTTTATTATTTGTTTTACTAGAATTTTAACTTATTTTGAAATTTTAACGTAAAGTACATCTATTATGGGGAAAATTAATTCATTATTTGATTCATTACATTTGTTATACATTTTGTTTCATATTTATGTGCAACATTTTGAATTTTGAAAGCCAATCTTCATGTTATACAAAATTTGTACATGGACACACATTTACTAATACATTATACCTGTATAATTGTATCTATAGATGTACATGTATGTTTAGGATTTTGTAACAAAGTTTTTATAATTACTGGTAGGTATACATGTAATTTATATTTCTTTATTAAGTGTACATACAATCTCATTTTCAATGTATATGTATGTATATTTGCACTCTTGATATGAGCATGTTGATCATAAGCGTAATGTACAGTGTAAGCTTTGTACAATTTTTGCTTGAAATCATTATGAAATAAAAGCCACATATTTTGCCATTTAGAACATGATTTCTAGCCTGAAGTTTGTTATTTTACGATCAAGTAGCACTCATACTCAGGTTTGTGCTCCAGGAGTGGGATACTATGATCTCAAACTCAAAACAGTAATAGAAGAAGTAGAAGGTATAGGAGGAAAAAGAGGAGGGGGTGAGAAGGAGGAGGGGAGAAATAAGTGGAGAAAGAGTTGGAAACGGGAAGAGTATGAAGGAAGAAAAAAGGAGGGTAAGAGAAAGAGAGGAATATGATGGGTAGATAGAGAGGATAGATTCTTTAAGATGCTACTACGATTACTAAATATTAATACGAAACGAAAGTAGTTGGAAAATGTACAAGTCTATCTTGGCCAGCAATGTTTTTATATAAAGTGTATATATAAACTAAAATATTAGATTTTAGGGGGGAAAAATATTATCGCAAGATGTTTTACAAGAATTTCCCTTTATGTTTGCGTTTCGAAACCCGTCGTATAGGGAAATTGACAACCCCTCTCCCAACTTTCCTCTCGTCAGGGCACACCCCCCCCCCCCCCCCCCCCTCCGTATCATGACGAGAAATTGCCTCCCATCCCCTTCTCACATCCTGAAAAGAAAAATATATAATATTTATAAACAAATAACCTAAAAGAATGAAAAAATAAAAACCTGGTAGAAACACGCGTGGCGTAATAAAGTAATTTAGTCATCTACAATGGAACTACACCATTTACGGCTGTTTACTGCCAGGTGCATTAGACATATTGTATCCGACAATAGCCAAAACTGGTGGAAATGAAGGGAAACTTCGGCGAATTCCGAAGTGCATATGTAATTTTGTCCACTTCTTCGTGTTGCGAGATATATTTATTAGTTATTATAAAGAATACTTAATACGAAGGCTTATGTATAGGCCCATCCCTCTGGAAGGCGTTATAGTGATAGTGATGATGAGTGATGATGACGATGATGATAGTGAATGTTTGGAATCAGGGGCGGATCCACGTAGCGATTTTTCCGGCCCGCCCCCCCCCCCAGCCCCCAAAACGATAAAAAATATAGGAAAATAACGTAAAGTTAACCTTTTTTTAAAACAAAAGCAAAAGCGCCCCCCCCCCTGCTTATTCGCCGGCCGGCTGAGTCGGCGCTAAATTTTAGGTTTAGATTTGACTCCCCCCCCCCCCCCCTTGTTGCCGGCAGGATCTTCTGCAGGCGCGGATCCACGGGGGGGGGGGGGCTGACGGGTCAACCACATCACTATTTTTATTTATTTATTTATTTTTTTTTTTAAATCTCAAGGAATTAGGCCCCCAAAAGCAAAATAGTGGTCTTACCCCCCAACCCTCCCTCAGCTTATTCACCGGCTGGCTGAGTCGGCGTAAAATATTTCCTGAAAAATTGGACCAAAACAAAAAGTGCCTCCTACCCCCCCCCCCCCCCCCCCACCCCCCCCCCCCCCCCCCTCCGCTTATTCACCGGTGGCTGAGTCGCAACTAATATTTTCTCACGGATTGGGCCCCCTCTTCCCGCCGGCTGGATCCGCCACTGTTTGGAATCATCTGTCCGGATAACCGACCTGTCCGGTCTGGACACACACTGCGTAGGTTAATAAGTTGCACTGGAAAATATTTGCTTTTTGATATAGTAATGCATTACGGAATAATAATATTATTCTCAGGCCTAATAATGCAAGAAGAAGATGTGACCACGCAGCGTTTTTTTTATTCAAAGTACTGGGGCTGCGCATGCTCAGGCAGGGGCGGATCTAGGGGGCCCCTCCCCTGGCCAAAACATAGGTAAAACAAAATTAAGGTAACGTTAATTTTACTTTAATAAAAAAAAAGAAGACGGGCACCCTTTTTTGTTGTTGCTCCAGGGGGGGGGGATGGGTTGTTGAGTAAAAATAAATAGAGCTCCATACCCCCCCCCCCTCCCACCCCCGCTTATTCGGCCGGCCGGCTTAGTCGCCGCTAAATATTCACGAATTGGGCCCCCTCCCTCGCCGCCGTCTGGATCCGCCCCTGGGCTCAGGTAGCACAACATTCGGGGGAACATATAGCTACTGAATGGGGAAGAGTATTACATTCTACCAATACACTTTGACAAATTATTTACTTTTGCGAGGGATAGCAGCGACCGAGCAGGAATACATGCATCCTGTATTTCGAGCACTTTTGATCACAGAGAACTATTTCTTCTTCTTTTTCTGATTAAGTCTGCCTCCTTCAATAATAATAGACTGAATATTCTTGCAACTGGCGATAAGCAAAGAGCGACACCGGCTTACAAACGTTTGCAAAGACTTACGACTGTTTTGCAACCGCTTAAGACTGGTTTGCAAACGCCTGCAACTGTTTGCGGAAAAATAAAGGCAAGAAAAATTTTTGCGACATTGAAAACTGTTTGCAAACTTTCTTGCAACCTTTTGCAACCTTTTACGAACCCTGGCGAAACCCCAAATTAGCTACGTTCGCAAGCATTCGCCGCTCAGTTAGATACCCCCTTTAAGGCCCTATCTCACTGAGCGGCGAAACCAATTATTGGTTATATCATTATCATTATTACTAATATTATTATAATCATTATTATCATCATCATAAATATCTGTGTATATATGATATTAATAGTATTATTAGTGTTATTAGTAGTATACATGTATTATTATTGTCGTTGTTATTGTCTTCGTCACCATCAATTCTAGAAACCAACATGCATTCTTTATGCTTGTATGTATCACCAAAGTATCACATGATATGATTAATTTTACTGGCAGGCCTATATCTTAGCTCTGCTCATTATTGCATAATTCCTCCATCATTTTCCATATTATTGACAGAAAATGATTAAAGATTCACTCTGGTATTCTTGGTGATTTTCTTATCGGAAGACAGTAGCAGACAGTGCAATGCTCGAGGAACATAACTCAAGTAAGTGATAGGGTAGGACAGAGCTCTCATTTTTCCTCATTACTGCAGTCGTTTTTATCCTGGGATATATTATGTTCGTGGTTATCCACAACCTTTGTCTAGTTCTTAATGCACGTGGCTACATGTAACCATGTGTTAAGTTTCATATTTGATAATATACTGGTTTAATTATGTAGACGAACACTTAA